CTCAGCAAAGAGACCAGGATAAAGTACAGGGAGAGAGGGAGAGGGGAGAGGGGACGGGGGAGGGGGCAGGGTCCCACGGGCAGGTTTGGTGACCGTCGGGGGCGGGAGGAGTCTGAGCAGAGAGAGGCCTGAAGATTGCAGAGCACCCTCGGCTCTGTCGTGATTGTGGATAAAGCGCCCAAAGTGGAGGAGCCTCTGAAACAGTGACCCCCCGGAGGAGTGGAGAGCACAGCCCCCCATCATAGGTGGGCCTTGTTCCCCCGGACTCACGCACCCCCTCCTCAGTAACCTTCACTGACTCCCGGCTGCCCCTAGAATAAAAGACACACTTTCCAGCCCGGCCTTTTAAAGCCGTCTGATCCCAGCCTCTCCAGAGCTTCCCGAGCTCCCGGCATCCTCTGGCCAGGGGCTCTAGGTTCCCTAGGCCTTTTGCAAGCCTTGACCTCCCTGCTGATGGAGAGGGCTTGTGGAAACAGACTCCACAGCTTCTTTTAAGAAGCGATGGGCTCGTCCTCCTCCCTGCCCGGACTCCTAGTCCTGCTTCATCTCCAGCAGATTGCTCCCCTCCCCCCTCCTCTGGAGTCTCTCCGTCTGTCTGTCCATGCGCTGCTGCTTCCCAGCCTCCAACAAACCAACCCCGACTCTCCCCCGTCCTTGAAAGTGGCGTCACTTTGTGTCGTGCCTGGCACGAGCTTGGGCTCTTCCCCCCTTCTCTGTGCCTCGTGCCCCGGGGGGAGGGGTGTCTTTAGATTAATACCGCCTGGTTTTCCACCTCCTGGTGTCCCAGTTCACCTCTTCTCCTTGAGTCTGTCCCAGCCCCCTGTCCTTTGGCGCTCTCGGTCAGAGAGCCTGGTTACACACGTCTTCCCCAGTGGTCAGCTCCCCTTCATACTATCGTGGGTTACACGTTCTGTCTTTGGGGACTTCTCCAGTCCCTCCATTGGTGAAGAATTCTTGCTCTATTGATGGCTGTGAAAGATTCTCCCAGCCTTTCTTTCACACTATGTCCTCCTCCACTCATTCGTCGTCCCTTTGGAGCTGACTTGCCCTAGAGCTGACAAAGTCTCTGGGGCCCGGTTTACTGAGGCCACCCTCATGAGAGGGACAGTGGACCCCCCTGGCTTGTGGCCAAGGCGCAGGGCAAAAGGAACCTTTGTGATCTGCAGAGACGCACGGTCCACGCCTTGGCCGGGGACCCGGATCAGCTGGGCGTGCCTAAATTTGGCCTCGAAGGTCATAGGGAGCGTTGGATGATGAGGCTCAGAGGGGAGAGGAGAGCCGGTAGAGGGGCTCGTGGAGACAAAGGAGGGCCCCGCCACGGCTGTCCAATGAGAGAGTCACTGTGCTTATGCCAAACTGGACATAGACACGTTTTACCAGGCGTGCGTTCAGCGAACGCGGTGAGATCATTCTGTGGTCAGACTCTACCTGACATCCAGTCATCTTGGTGAACAGTAACTCCTCTTCACACCCCTGGTCCAGATGTGGAAGAGGGCAAAAGTGTGTGCCTTTTCTTAGAGCTGTGACCACGCTCGGCACATTCATGGTCAATGTGGGGCCAGCTTTTCCTCTGATGGCGGTCCCTTTATTTAGGCCTTCTGCCATCCAGACCCATCTCGGCCTTGTGACAGGCGCCCCAGGGAGTGGGGGGGTTACTGACAAAGCCTTCCGTATCAGCAGCTAGAAAGCAAGGCTTTGTAAAGCCCTTAGCAGTTCAGGTTGGCTGTCTGCTGGTGCTGACTGAGGGGATGGAGGGGATGAAGAGAGAGCCCAGACCCAGAAACAAGGCAGCTTGGAGACCATCTCTTCTGCCCACAGAATCTGAACCCTGGAAGTGCACAGTTCCCACGTGATGTCATCTGCGCCTCTGCCGCCTCCCTGCTGCTCTCTCCGTGAGTGCCGCCAGGATGTGCCCAACAAGCCCTTGTCTGCCTGCGCAGAGCTTGGAGGGATTCCCTAGCTGTGGCTTCAGAGGATCTAACTCTTTGTGAGTGATCTTTTATGTTCCACGCGCTTATCTGGTACGTGGCGTTTGGTTCTGACCGAAACGGAACTTCTGCCCCATGGCTTCGTTTTTCCAGCAAGCCTTGTCCCCCAGAGAGCTGTCCCTGTGTCACTTGGGTTATCGGTGTGCAAAATGTTCTCCCGGTGAGATGACAGTATGTGGAGTGGAAGATGATGTTTTCTAAGTTAAATTTTATTTTCCATCAACCAGGATTCACCTTCCTTCCCTCCACTACCCCCCACCACTGAGAAAGAACGAAAAACAAGTCCTTTTGCTCATCTGGTCAAGAGAACAAGCTTTTGCATTGGCCCATGTTTGACACATCTCCGTGTCTCATTCTTTATTCAGAGTCCTTCACCTCTGTGTGAGTGATAGCATGAGTTCCCTGTAGTGAGGGCTAGTCATTACTGGGTTAAGGTTCCCAAGACTTTTAAAGTCACTTGTCTTCGCAGTGTTGTGGTTATCATACAAATTGTTTACTTCATCTACACCAGTTCATACGAGTCTTCCTAGATTTCTCTGAAAATGCCCGTTTATCATTTCTGATAGCACGGTCATATTCCATCACCTTCGTAAGACGTGAGCTGTTTAGCCAGTCCCCAGCTGAGGAGAGCACCGTGTTGGTTTATAGCTCTTTGCTGCCATCCCTCCTCTCTCTCTTTCCTGTCCCCCCTTCTTCCCTTTCCCTCTTGTTTCCGTATTTCTGTACGTAATTGTGTGTGTGTGTGTGTGTGTGTGTGTGTGTGTGTGTGTGTGTGTGTGTGTGTATGTGTTCTTCCTGTCTTTGACCAGTTCATACAGAATGAGGGTCAGTAGCTCCCTTCACTTCTTCCACCTTGTCTGTGTAGATTTTCACTTGCTCGTCCAGATAATTTCTCTGTCCTTCCCCCACCCCATTCTTATTCCCCTCCCTTTCCGCTCTTAAAGTCATCAAAACCTAACAGAATTACTGAGGACATATATCATCTCTCCATATCACAATGTGAGCAATTTCTCCTTCTTTCATCCCTTGTGATTATTTGCTCACGTTTACGGTTTTATGTTTTTCTTGAGTCCTGTGTTTGCACTTCAACTCTGATCTTTTCATCAGGATTGTTTGGAAGTCCTCTGTTTCATTAAAGGTCCATTTTTACTGGTGTAGGATCATGCTCAGTTTTGTGGGGGTGTCTTATTCTTGGTTGAAGACTTGAGTTCAAATCCCACTTCAGACACTAGCTGTGTGACCCTGGGCAAACCTTAGTTTCCTCATCTGTAAAATAGGGATAACAATAGCACTTACCTCCCAGGATCAAATGAGATAGTAATTGTAAAGCACTTAGCACAGTGCCTGGTACATAGTAGGTGCTATGTAAATGTTAGCTATTATTGTTATTGTGAGCCTATATCCTTTGCCTTCTGGAATATTGTATTCCAGGCTCTCTGTTCCTTCATGGTGGTGGCTGCTTAATTGCGTGTGATCCTGACTGTGGGTTGGTTCACTACTTGAATTATTTATTTCTGACTATATGCAGCATTTTTTCTTTGACCTAGAAACTGGATTTTGGGAGAATATTCCGGGGGTTTTCATTTTTGGGTTTCTTTCAGAAGGTGATCAGTGCCTTCTTTCGGTCTCCTTTCTGCTTTCTGGTATTAAGACAGCTGGGCAGTTTTTTTGTATAATTTCTAGAAATGTGATATCGAGGCTCTTTTTTGGGTTTCAGGCCAATCATTCTAAATCAGGCAGATCAGTTGTTTTTGCTGTGAGGTGCTTTACGCTTTCTCCTGTGTTTTTAGTCTTTTGACTCGGTTTCATGTTTCTTTTTGTCTCATGGAGTCACTGGCCTCTTTTGGTCCATTCCCGTTTTAGAGCCTTTGTGGCTTGGCCCAGCCTCTTGGGCCAGGCTCTTAGGCCGCTTTCCCATTCTTTCCTCCACGGCTTTTACTTCTCTTCCTGTTTTCCCCTCTGACGTGGCTTTTTTTTATAAAAACATTTAAGAAATCTCTTTTAGCTCTTGCTTTGTGTCTTCAAGGGATTCTTGCTCCCAAGCTGGGGTCTTCTCTGGGGTTTTTCTTGTCACTGTTTCGGAATCCTCTTCTGCTGGGTTATGTTTTGGCTGTCCCATCACCAGAATGACCTCTTTCAGCCCACTTCGTGATTTCAGACTTTGTATGAGAGCCTGGATGTCTGGGCTGGTCCTGACGCCTCTTTCAGGGGATAGTGTTATGTCTGTTGAGCTGGGGTCTTGCAGGATTTCTATGCCCCCAGCATAGACCTCTGCCCCCCGCTTTTCACTCTGAATGTTCCTGTCCCCTAAATCTGTAAACCTGGCCTGGAAGAATGACACGCCAGGTTTTTTCTTGGTTTTCCCAAACAGGATTTGGTCTTTTTGAGGAGCTGGAGGGCTGGAGGGGAGCTCCCTGTGGTGATGTTTCTGTCCCCTTTCCCGCCTACCCTGAAGGCTTGACTTCTCTGGTGTTTTAAGATGTGCCCACACGCCAAACCTGTGTGACGGGGGACAGAATCTTTGCCTGAGAGATATCTCAGTGCTTTTATTTATTCACTTCATTGCTATACAAGGAATCAGTGGCTAATTTGTGAAGTCTTAATTTATATGATAATAAGGAGAACAGAATGGTAATATTATGAATAATGTGTCTTGTTCCTGGCATTAAACCCCATTTTGATTTCTAAGATTTCGCTTCATGTTGGGTGAGCTCTAGGACTTGGTATGCAATATTGATGAGAGCCGCAGCACTCGGGGCTGAGAGAGGCAGACTTTCCTCTCAATAAGCCATTCCACACTGTCACGTCCCAGCCCCAAATTTAAGCCCTTGGTGTTCTGAGGCTGACAGCGTGCCTGGGGGGAGGGGAGTTCTCTCACCTCAGGAGTCTGCCTAGGGCGTATGTGTGTGTGTTTGTGCGCATGTGTGTACATGTGTGCACATGCATGTGCGATGTACGTGTGCGTTCGTGCCCACGGACACTGACTCTCTCTTGTGTCCTCTTCTCCCACAGGCTAATATCCTTTCAAGAATTCATAGCGTTTGAGTCTGTCCTGTGCGCCCCGGATGCTACGTTTGTGGTAGCCTTCCAGCTGTTTGACAAAACTGGCGGTGGAGAGGTGACCTTCGGTAAGACTGGGCTGAGCCACGGAGGGTGGGGAAGGGTCAAAGGCCACAACTCTGCCCTCCCTCTCTCAGCCGATCCGGGTCCCTGGCCAAGGCGTGGACCATGTGTCTCTGCAGATCACAAAGGGTCCTTTTGCCCTGCACCTCGGCCACAAGCCAGAGGCGCAGGGTTTGGTCAGGGGCCCGCTGTCCCTCTCACAAGGGCGGCCTTAGTAAACGGGGCCCCGAAGGAGACTTTGTCGGCTCTAGGGCAAGTCGGTTCCAGAGGGACAGCGAATGAGTGGAGGAGGACGTGGCGTGAAAGAGATGGAGATGGGGAGGCAGAGACAGAGTGCCCAGTGGACCCTCCAGCGCGGGCTGCTTGGTGGGGTCCTCTGTGAGCCAACTCTGTCTCCCCTCTAGGTCTGTGCTCAATACCCACTGTTCCCCGGCTGTCGACCCTCTTCCTCATCTCCCTGCCTGTTGGTTCTGCCCTGGCCGGGCCTCTCCCATCCTTCAAAAACAGCCCTGCCAGTGTCCCCCCACCCTTGGCGCTCTGGCTGCCCTGTCCATTGTCACCAGCCTTCTTGGAATGGCCAGAGGGCATGCGCTGGACATCATGGGCAGCTCTCTCCCACCTGGCCGATGGCCAGGAGCCCCGCTCTTCTCCCTCCAGAGCCCCGCCTCGGGTCTGTGTGGCCTCAGCTGGTCTGATGGACATTCGGACGCGATGTCCTGGAGACGAGCCCCTCTGGGTCCTGACCTTCCCAGGCTCAGCTGGCTCTCAGACGGCCGCTTCCGTCGCCCTTCCGGTGAAGGAGGCGTCTGCTCAGAGCCGATTCACAGCTTAACGCTTCGGTCATTTATTTTACCGCAGCTGGTTTTCTAGGCGGTCACCCTCACTGTTTTCTTTTCCGCACCTCCCAGTTGAGGTTTTTCCCTGGACTCTGAGCCTCCTAGAAAGCTCCCCGTGGCCGAGACGTCCAGGGCCTCCTCGCGGTTCAGCAAAGCCAGCCTGTTCCATAGGTGCTGGAGCCCCCTGCTGAGGGCCAGGACTGGAGCTGGAGGGTTGGAGGATCGGGGAGGGTCAGCATCATCAGGCCCCTCGTAAGCGCTTTAAGGAGCATGCGCTCCTTGCTCTCCCCTGGCCAGATTCGCCATTTCTGCCTTCACAACATCTCGGGTGCTATGGGCACACCTCTGCCTCCTCACCCATCTCCCGGCCTCCAGTTTCTCCCCACTCTGTCCCATGACTCTGGGGGCCCCCCCTGCCATTCAGCCAGATGCCCCTCTCCTCACGTCCTCACTGTGAGTATGCCCTCTCTCTCGACGCGGCTCCTTATGTCGGGATACAGCACAAGCCCTTTCCTGGTTCTCACGGTGCCCACACCCACCCTGTCAAAGGGTCTTCTGTGTAGTGTGGTGTGTCCCTGGGGCTCCCCCCTTTCTGAATGGAAGCTCCTGCTGACCTGGAATCGCTTCCTTCTGTGGCCAGGCATGTAGGAGGTGCCGTGGAAATGCTTCGTCCCTTCCCTTTCCCCCCAGCTAGTTCAGGACAGGCCACCATCAGGCCCTATTCCTCTGTCCACAGCAGTGTCTGGGAGGCACCCCTCCTGCCCGGCCACCTTCCTTTTGTGAACATTAATTTTCTGCTGGCATGCACACCCACACGGGGCACCCTGGAGGCTGCGGTCTTCTTACCTCCTCCAGTCAGGAAGCCTTCGGTTCCTCAGCCCCCAGCAGACTTCACTGGGTGCCCTGCCCATCTGTCTGCCTGTTGGGCAGGCTGAGATGACCCATTCTGAGATTGGGAGAATGCATTCTTTTTTTTTTTTTTTTTAACTTTATTAATTTATTTTGATTTATCAACAATCACTTCCATAAGCTTTTGTGTTTTAAATTTTTCTCCCCCTCCCCCCCACCTCCCTCCCCAAGACGGCACACAATCTGATATAGGCTCTTCATATACATTCCTGTTGCACATATTTTCACATTAGTGATGTCATAAGTAAGAATTAGAACCAATAGGAGGAACCACAAGAAAGAAGAAATAAAACAAAACAGAAGAAAAAAGAATAGCAAATAGTATACTTCAGATCTGCATTCAGACTCCAAAATTCTACCTCTGGATATGGAGAGCATTTTCCATCACGAGGCCTTTGGAGATGTCTTAGATTCTTGCATTGCTGAGAAGGGCCAAGTCTGTCAATGTTAGTCATCACACTGTGTGGCTGTTGCTGTGGACAACGTTCTCCTGAGGAGGTCAGACCAGATCTGGTGGGCCAGGTCACCCTGGCTCAGGCATATTCTTGAGACAAGATTTGAGCTTGAGGGTTGCTCCAAGCCGGGCCCCAAAGTGTCTGCAGGAGAGAGCCCGTCCCCCGGTTGGCAGCCTGATGCTTTCCTCCCAGATCCTCTCCGGGCTACCCTGTTCTACCAAGCACCCTCCCTTCTCCTGGCTTTACCGCATCCTTTGTGGGGTCTCCCCATTTCGATGCGCGCTCCCTGGGAAGAGAAGCTGACTTCCCGGCTCAGCCTAGCACTGAGTCAGCTGCCCAGAAATATCTGTCAATGTGCCTTGACCCTCAGGCTCCTCCGAGGGACCCTACCCCCCCCATCCTCATTTACAAAATGGGTCAGCGCGACTCCATTAACTCTTAGACATCCAACCTTCCACTCAACAAGAAAACAAAAGCAGGTGCAGAAAAACTCAGAGAGTCATAATCCGCACAGAAACCTGGCTGATGCTCTCTGGCTAAACCACATGGCATTCCTAGGGGAGAGTGGGCGCGTGAGTGAGGAAGACCCGTGTGCGTGGGGCAGCACACAGCCGGACTGCAGGCTTTTCTGCCTGTGCTCCCCAGGAAGCCGCGTCTCCACAGGACGGTCCCCTGCTGGCCTCACCTTCTGTCCTGGCGGGCATGTCTGCTTCTCCTCTCAGACAGAGAAGAAGGAGAAGTGGCTGTGACTCGTGATCCCCCTAAAAGGACACTGAGAAAACTCATTGTTTGACAGAAACTGCTGGGAAAACTGGGAAACTGTGGCAGAAATGAGTATAGACCGTCTCACACTGCATACCAAAGTAAGAGTGATACCGTAAGCACATTAGGAGAGCAAGGCGTAGTTAATTTGTCAGATCTATGGATGAGGGAAGAATTGAGGACCAAAGAAAATAGAGAGAGCATTACAAAATGTAAATAATTTTGATTATATAAAATTTAAAAGTTTTTGCATAACAAAACCAGTGCAACCAAAATTAAAAGGAAAGCAGAAAACTGGGGGAAATTTTTTGCAGTGGGTATCTCAGATAAAGTCCTTATTTCTCAACTATATAGAGAACTAAGTAAAATTTATAAGAATACAAATCATTCCCGGTCAAAGGATATGAACAGGCAGCTTTCAGACAAAGAAATGAAAGCTATCTGTGGTCATGAATAAATGCTCTAAATCACTATTGATTAGGGAAATGCAGATGAAAACAACCCGGAGGTGCCACCTCACACATATCAGATTGGCTACTGTAATGGGAAAGGAAAATGATAAATGTTGGAGGAGATGTATGGTGGAGTTGTGAACTGATCCAACCATTCTGGAGAGCAATTTGGAACTATGCCTGAAGGGCTGTCAGACTGTGCATACCCTTTGACCCAGCAATACCTCTAGGTCTGTATCCCAAAGAGATCATAAGAAAGGGAAAAGGACCCACATGTACAAAAAATTTATAGCAGCTCTTTTTGTGAGGGGATGCCCATCAATTGGGGAATGGCTGAACAAGCTGTGATATATGAGTGTGATGGAATATTATTGTGCTATAAGAAATGACAAGCAGGATGATTTCAGAAGAAAACTTGGAAAGTCTTATATGAACTGATGCACAGTGAAATGAACAGACCCAGGAGAATGTTGTGCACAGTAACAGCCACGTTGTACGGTGATCAGCTGTGAGTGACCTTGACCCTAAATAGCTGACTATTCTCAGTAGTCCAGTGATCCAAGACAGTCCCAAGGGACTCATGATGAAGCATGCCGTCTGCCTCCAGGGACAGAACGGATGCTATCTGAATACCGCCTTGTTGGGTCGGCACATGGACCCGAGCCCAGCATGGGCAGGGTCCGTGGGGGGGAGGGGGGAACACAGGAAAGCTTAGCGGTGTGGTAGGGGCTCTTCCAACCTTCTCTCCTGTCTAAAGGGTAGCCCGCCCCTGCTTTCACCATGAGAGACACAAAAACACTGCTTTTCAGAGTTGGAAAATCAGCTGTGCTCCTGCAGGGCAGGTGAGCAGAAGAGCCCAGTTCTCAGAGAAAAGGGCTGGCCGGTGTGTTCTGAAGGTGGGTGGTCGAGACGTCGGCTTGAAGGAGAAGCTGTGGACGTGCGTCGTGTTGCATCTATTCCAGCGACACTGAAGGAGCTTGCCACGTGTGGACGTGGTTTTGAAAGAAAATGATTTGGGGTAACACCAATCTAAAGAAATCTTTATGAAACACCTGATCCCAAAGGCCTGGGTCTTCCTGTCTCAGCATCTCCTCCTCCCCTGGTTCTTCTCCGTCCTCCCCGCCCCGCTCATATGTGGGGGTTTCCCAAACTTGTGTCCCAGCACCTCTTCTCTTGCTCCACGTCTTGAATTTAGGATCGTCTTCTCCCAGGGCTCACTTGTTCTCTGCAGACCACTCCCAGTTCTCTGTCCGCCAGCCAGAATCTTTGCCTTCAAATCGGGGTGTTCCCTAGGGGCCCCCTCCTGCTCCTCCAGGCACACCCATTTTTGTCCTGCATAGTTGCCCTGGTTTAAAGCTCTGGAACTTTCTTGGACACTTTCTGGTTTCTGACTCCATTGCTGTTGTCACCGATCCACACACCCCCAGGTCCCATCAGTCTCCCTTCACAACAGTGCACTTGTCCGTGGCCTCCTGTCCGCTGGCTGGGCCACGTGCAGGCCTACGTGTTCGGCGTTCTGGAATACCCTCATGGGCTTCTACTGAGATCTCTGCTTAGTCAGGAAAATAACTTACTGCAATAAAGAATCTTGCCCATAAATGGTCTTGGCATTTACTCCTCTGCTCAGCTCACTGCCTTCTCTGAGAGGAGGATGGGATCTAGTGAAGGGGATTCTTAAGAATGAGGCGACTTGGGCAGGCTTAGTGGCCAGAGGTATTGTGGAGAAAGTGGTTGGCGAAGGTCGGAGCGAGATTAAAATGCCTGTTGTTCGTTGCTGCTGCTGTTATCCCTTCTGAGTTGGAAAGGCAGTCTCCACTGGAGAGAGGGTTTCTGTTCAGGTTTATTTATATAGGAGATACTTAGTAAATGCTAGTTGACTGACTTATTTTGAAAAACGTTTACTCCTGTGGACTTTACTTTTACTTTAGTGATTGACTGTCATTTCATAATAAATGTTGCTGTCTATAATTGTGAGCTTTTTCTTTTTTTCTAGAGTTTTTGTTTTTGTTTTTGTTTTTTAATGTTTTCCTTTTTCCCGTGGAGGGTTCAAAGGGTATTCTCCAAGTAGGAATTGATAAACTTGTCTGCCTAGTGAAAAAGCTTCTGTTCTTATAAAATCCCCAAAAAACAGACTTAAGAACTTTATGAATTGGTCATGTTTAATTTAACTCTTTCCATGTCTCTCTGCCTTTCTTTTCCAGAGGATGTAAAGCAAGTTTTTGAACGGACCACCATTCATCAACACATTCCATTTAACTGGAATTCGGAATTTGTGCAGCTGCACTTTGGGAAAGACCGAAAAAGACGACTTCCCTATGCAGAGTTCACACAGTTCTTACTGGTAAGTGGCTCCTGGCCTGGCCAGTGCCCTCCCCTTCTGCTGCTAGACCCCTGGTCTTGACCCAGAACGCTGTGTTCACCCCGCCCTGCCCCTGAGGAAGCAACTTTGGCCGGAGGTCCTCATCCAAACCCTCCTGTTCTCCTTGGGTGCCCAGGGGGACCCCAGAGCAGGACTAAGGCTATGAACGCTCCGAGTTCTTGCCTTGACACCTTGCCTGAAGTGCACATCTATCTGACGGTGTTAACACCTCACCCTCTCTTCAGGGCAGCTGGGTGGTGCAGTGGGTAGTGCTGGGCCTGGAGTCAGGAAGCCCTGAGATAAAATCTGGCCCCAGACACTTAAGTAGCTATGTGAGCCTGGGCCTCTCATATCAGCATTGGCTGCCTCAGTTTCTTCATCTGTAAAATGGGGATAATAGCACCTCCCTCCCAGGATTGCTACGAAGATCCAGTGAGTTTATAATTGAAAGCTTAGCTGTGCATGTAGTAGGTATTTAATAAGTCTCCCCCCCTTCTCTTCTTCATTGTACTCCAGCTACACCCACTTACTGGCTGGCCTTTTCCCATCTCCACGGCCCTCGTTCCCTTTGTCTCTGCCCCCTTCCCGTGCCCTCTGCCTTGTGCGTGGAGCCCACTGAGCCCTCGATGTGGGCAGGCCCTTCCTGCAGGCCTTGGAGGTTGGAGCATGGGCTCAGGGGGGCCCCGGGGAGAACCAAAGGCCAGCCAGCCCCCGGACGCACAGAGCAGGAGCCGGGGAGCTCTGGCCTCTCTCTTTCCTCTGGCGGTGTTGCTTGGCTTGGAAGCTTCCAGAGGGGTGCACGAGATGTGGGCCTGCTCCAGGGCTCTTGTTGCAGACATGTATGGACCTGTTCCTGGGCTGCCGGGAGCCTGGCCTGGTCAGAATCCCCAGGGGCACAGCCCCTCATTCCACCCAAGATTGTGGCTGTGCTGCTCAAGACCTCTGGAGCCTGGCCTCATTAAAGAGGAGGTCTGCAAACGGGATGCCACGTCTCTTAGGTTGAGCGAGGTCCCTTAGGTAGGGGCTGATCTGTGCGGAGAACCCCCTCCCAGAAACATCTGGGCCTCGTGGCCAGCAAGGCCGAAGGGCCTGGGCCTGGCAGCTTACCGAGCCCTGCTGGGCAGGCCCGACTCCCTCCCTCCCCTCGTGGCCTGCATTGGCCTGGCTCTGTCTGCTCAAAGGACACCCCCCCCCCCAGATTCGTCCAGTGTTCCGCGATGGTGGGGGGCACATTGTGCATCGGGGGTCTCTGGGAGGGGTTGCAGCAAGGGGCCCTCGCTCTGATCACTCGTGCTGTTGGCGCCCATTCCCTTTTGTATTCCATGGGTGATGCTGGCCGGCAAGGCCTGGGCAACAGACCATCCACACGCCTCCACTTCCCACGGCGGGGACCCTCACCTCTGGAGCCTGAGCACCCTCCCCTCCCCCACAGATGGCTCTGTGGCCATCGCGATGCCCGGCACAAGTGCAGAGTCAGGCCACGCTCTGGCCGGGAGGATCCCCAGGGAATCCCCCCAGGCATGCCCTGCCCTGAGCGGTGTGGATGGAGGAGGCAGGAAGCGCAAGGCCCTGCGTGGGAGCAGCCTCGATCCCTGCCGCAACGAGGCCACGAGGGGACGTCGGCCCGCCGTGGCTTCCCCGTCCTCTGCAGGAGAGCAATAGGGAGGGGCCTGGAGTCAGGAAGCCCGGGCTCCTCGTCTGCCAGACAGGGGTCAGAGGAAACCACGTTTGTGAAGACTTTGTCAACCTTCCAGTGTTCTGTAAACAGCTGCTGCTACTACCTACTACTGCCACCCCCAGCACCACTGCCACTACTGCCGTCACCGCTGTCACTGCCACGGCTGCTGCCACTGTTATTACTACTAGTGTTACTGCTGCCACCACTATTATACTACTCCTACCACCCCCACTACCACTACTCCTCCTACTGCCCACCCCCAATACCACTACCACTACTATCACCACTGTTACTACTATTATTACTACCACTATTATTACTACTACTGTTACTACTACCACCACCTGTATTACTACTACTGCCGCTACTACCACCACCACAATTACTATTACTACTACCACCACCACTGTTACAACAACTACTACTACCACCACTATTACTGTTACTACTACTACCACTACTCCTCCTACTACTACCATCCCCAACACCACTACCACTACTACTATCACTGCTGTTACTACTACTACTATTGCTACTACCACCACTGTTACTACTGTAGCTACTACTACTACCACCACCATTACTGTTACTACTGTTACTACTACCACCACCACTACCACCATTATTACTACTACTACCACCACCACTACCATGATTACATAGCACTTTGAGGTTTGCAGAAACATTTTCTACACGGTGTCTCCCCATGGAGAGAGCCTTCCTCAGACTGGGGTGTGAATGGCCTGCCCACCCCGCTCTCTAGTCCTGATGGCTTTCATGGTGCGTGACCTGTCGTTGGGACCCTCCTTTCTGGCGTGTGCCCTCCAGGACAGTGATATCAAAGGGATGGCCAGTTCTCATGGCTGGGGCAGGGTCTCATAGCACTGATGGTTTCCCTGTAAGATCCAGCCAGCTCTCTGACTCTCTCTGAGGGCTTGGCACATCATGGTGCCTACCTTTGTGACCCTTCCCTTCTCTCAGCCTGGCAGCTCAGTCTGTCAGAGAGCATTTATCAAGTGCCTACTGTGTACTAGACCTAGTGCTAAAAACAGGAATTGGGGAGACAGTCTGTGATAAATAGAAAATAAAAAGTTAAGGATAAACTGGGGGTCATTTGAACCTCCTAATGGCCACAGGCAGCTCTCAGTGATTTGCCCAGAGTCACAAAGCTAGGGTATGTCAGAGGTGGATTTGAACTCTGCTCTTCCTGACTCTTAAGTCCCGCTTAGGGCCCTATTTAATACACCCCAGTTTGGTTTATTTCAGGCAGCATTTATTATCCTGTGTGCCAGGAGTAGTAATAGTAGTAGTAGTAGTAATAATAATAATAATAGTGGTAGTAATAATAGTAGTAACAGTGGTGATAGTAGTGGAAGTGGTATTAGGGGTGGGCAGTAGGAGTAGTGTCAGACGCATAGACAGAATCCTCTGAGCCTTCCTAAATGCCTGCTGTGTGCCAGGCAGTGTCAGACGCAGAGACAGATACACTGACAGAATCCTCTGAGCCTGCATGTTCCTTGTATCTCGCCCAAGATTTCTGAGAGGCTGAAAGATGGGGAGCCTCCTTGGTTGTCTGGGGAGGGGAGGACACCCTGCTGTCACCCTGCACATCTTGGTGGGAGTTCTGCACCTGGGCCACCTGTGCTAGGGTCACTAAGACACTGTGTCCATTCACCCTTCAATCTGGAAGTTGTTTGGTCGGGTGCTGAGCTGGGTCCTGGGCATACAAAGGCAAGCCTCTATCTTCCTACCCTCCGAGAGCTTCTGCTCAGGCTACAGGCCTGTCCGTTACATCACGAATCCCTTGGCAGGTTCTGGGAGGGTGGGGCTAGGGTAGGGTGCCCAGGCAGGTGGCAGAGATGAATGAAGGCATGGGACTGCCACGTACGACCCTCCACTCCTTCCCACCAACCCCTCCCTCGTTTTTCAGGAAATACAGTTGGAACATGCCAAGCAGGCCTTTATGCAGCGGGATACTGCCCACACCGGGCGGGTCACCGCCATGGACTTCCGGGACATCATGGTCACCATCCGCCCACACGTCTTGACGCCTTTTGTGGAGGAGTGCCTGGTTGCGGTGAGCTGCAGTCTCCTGGGGCTGGGGCAGGCAGGGGCGTCTGTTTGCTCTCCCCCTTCTGGGGACCGCCACTCCTGTGCTCTGATCCTCTCTCCGCCACCCTGCAGACCAGTTCCTCCTGCCGGAGGCTTGTTTGCTGGCGGAATCATCCACGTCCATAGTCAGGCACAGTGGTTTCGTTCAGCAGGTTGGACACCAGCTCCTTCCATCCGCATTAGAAGCAGGATGAAAAATGACCCCCGACCCCCAGTGCTTTTTGGTCCTGAGGAGGGGGAAGCTGGCAGGATGCTCCCATCCTTGATGCCGGCTTTGGATGTCTCCCCAAATGCCCCGCACCTCTGCTGCTCTCTTCTCAAGGCAGACCCTGCCCTCCTTCCTCCCTCAGGACAGAGCAGGGGGGCTCTCTGACCCTTACCAGATGGCTTGAGTGCCCTTCCAGCTCCCTGAACCCAGACAGCCACTGGCTAATGCAGCCCTCATCCCGCTTAGTTTTTTGTGATGCCAGCTGTCTGTCCAGTCAAGATTGACGTGACTCCCTTTAAGACAGACTTCCCCAAGGGAAGAAAGCCTGAACATGGAATATTCCAGAATGGAGATTCCCTTCTTAATGGGATGTTTTGGTGTTTCTCTTGTTGTCCATCAAAAATCCTGGTTCTCCATAAATTCTTAACCCTGACTCCATACCCAGGTACCCCCACCCCCGCATCCCTCATGCTTCCTGTTTCCCCCCGACCATGTACCAGGGCCAGAAATCCGTGTGATGGCGAGGCTGTGCCTGTTGTGATGGTGTATAGCCAGCCATCAGGGTCATGGCAGGCCTTCAGGAAAATGCTGGCATCAGCCTTTCGTTAGAGGCTGGTCTTGTGTGTGTGTGTGTGTGTGTGCACGTGTGTGTGGGGGGCGGTGCTCATGCACACAATGTGGCTTTGCTTTGTTGAAGACTGGCATCTGCTCATTAGGTCAAAGAAGCCACCTTATAAAACATTCCCGTTGAAACTTGTGCTCTGCACACTTCTGCTGCACGGGCCGAGCAGGGAGAGCGCGCGTGGTGGGCACCACCACGTTCGGGGTCTTCAGGTAGACACTTGGGCGCCTCAGACCCACCTTGGATTCTTCTTCTTTCCTCCCTCAAGGCTGCGGGAGGTACCACGGCCCACCAAGTTAGCTTCTCCTACTTCAATGGATTTAATTCTCTCCTTAACAACATGGAGATCATTAGGAAGATCTACACCACGCTGGCTGGCAACAGGAAAGACGTCGAGGTCACCAAGGGTGAGCAGGGGTGTGGCTGGGGGTCAGTGGCAGGGGCAGCCTGGGCCCCCTCAGAACGGCCTCCTCAGGCCAGCGCGCTCCTGGGGACGTCCCCTGGAGTCAGGACAGGAAAGGTCCCAGTGGAATTAGCTGTGGAAGAGAGGTTTCTGAATGTTTCTAAGTCCAAAGCCTGGTTGAATTTGTATGGTACCCTCCTTCTCCATCGGAGGTCAGAGGCTCAGCACTCCCAACTCCACTCCTTACATCACCCAGGTAGTCCTGGAGGCCAGGGAGGGGTGCCATCCCACCATCCCGTCATCCCGCCATCTGAGCTTCTGTCGGCCTCACGGATGTCTGTCCAGAGTCCCCATGGGCTTGGCCTCAGCTGCTTCGCAGTCTGACGAGGGCCCTGGGCGGCACCCCTTTTGTCGGGGACTCCCCAGGGACGTGCGGTGCCGGGCTCCTCCTCGTGGAAGCTCCTGTCCCTCCCTGCACCGAGATATTTTCCAGCCTGTTTGTGTTGCTGCCTTTTCTTTCTCTGGCACCCTCCTCTCTCCCAGGGTCACTCCCCCTCCCAGAAAGCTGTCACTTAGGATAAAGAGAATTTTTAAAGGACTTTTAAAAGGGAAGATGAGAGAGGAAGAGGGGGGAGGATGCCCCAAACCCTCCCGCCTCTCCCCACACCTACCTTCCTTTAGAGGAGTTCGCGCTGGCAGCTCAGAAGTTCGGGCAGATCACCCCCATGGAAGTGGACATCCTCTTTCAGCTGGCCGACCTCTATGAGCCGCGAGGGTATGCCGTGGTTCGGGCCTAGCAGGACGGGTGTTTAATAACTAACTGGTGGTGGAAGGGTCCCTTTGGGGGGCGGGCGACCCAGGGGAAGCTTTGGAAGGCCTCTGCAGCCCCTGGAGGTCCCTGTTTTCTCTACAGACGCATGACGTTGGCGGACATTGAGAGGATCACCCCCCTGGTTGGCGAGCGCCTGCAGGGCCGGCTGACCGAGTTCCAAAGGCAGGTTGGTATTCTGCTGGTTCCTGACGGGCTCTTTGGCCTTTCCAACGGCTAGGAGGCAGATTGACCGACCCGGTTAGAAGGTGTGCCTCTGCCCTCCCGCCTCGTGCAGGCCCGGCGTTGAGCCTGAGGCCCCGATTTGAGGGACGCAGGGCCCCCCTTGATCTCTCAAGAGCCTTCTTTTCTTAACTCCTGGACCTTCCAGTTATTAGCATTCAAGAAGGAACAACTTCCTCGACGGAAGCGCCGTGTTTAAGTAGTGTTTTAAAAGTAAATGGGCTGCCGGGAGGTGCGGTTCTGCACAGAGACGCCAGTGTGACCACGGCGGGCCGGGCAGGCTCTGGGCCTTGAGCCAGGCCTTCTGCTCACCCCGGGACAGTGGCTAGTTGTGTGAGCTGAAGGGGAGGCAAGAACTCAGCACCCTGGAAGCAAGCTGGCCCCCCTTCAGAGAGGAGGCCAGAACTGGCCAGCGGTGACGACACAGCTGTCCTCGGTGCTCAGACTCAGCGCGGGGCCCAGAGGGAGCTGGCGCGAGCCCCGGCTTCTACCGGCCAAGGCCAAGAGGAGGAGGGCACAGGGCAGGAGCCACCCCCTTTTCCACTGTGCACCCCAATCCCCCTTTGCTGTTTCTGAGCCCCGGGCCTCGGTCCTGTCCAGGTGGCTGCAGCAGGCAGGCCGCAGTGCCCACAGGTGCAGAGGGCCAGATCGTGTGTCGGGACTCTGGACCTCGGGGTGCTGAAACCCCAGGGGAGCCGCGGGCTGTGGATTCCTCACTAGGAGGAAGGCGAAGATAAGGAGACAAGCATTCATTGAGGTCCACGAGCTGCTCAGAAGCACAGCAGCCCTGGAAGATAGGTGCTGGTGTTATCATTTGAGGCAACTGAGGCAGGCAGGGGTGAAGTGACTTCCCCAGCATCCCACAGCTACTAGGAGTTGAGGCTGGATTTGAACTTGGGCCTTCCAGACTCCAGGCCCAGGGTTCTAGGCACTGTGGCGCCCCTAGCGGCCTATTGGGGTTACTTCACACCGGAGCTCAGTTTTTGTTGGGCTCTTTGGCCTCCGCTTTTTACAGTCAGAGTGTGTCAGAGCTTTGGACGTGTAAATGTCATTATGCCTCTGAAAAACCACATATATCCCGAGTGGATCCTGAGCAGTTTGAGTGGGTGTCCATGGAGAGGGCAGGCAGCCACGGAGGGGGAGGCCATGCTCAGCCCTTGGGCCGGCCCTGCCTGCTTCAGTCAGGCCTTCGTAGCCATGAGTCGGGGGTAGTTTTGAAAGAGGAACACGTGGGGCCTCGTTACTTCCTTGTGCCGGGGTGAGGAGGGCCTCTGGGCATGGCGTGGCGTGGCTTGGCATGCACTGCTGTGGCACAGGCTGGGGTGGACTTCCTCATATATTCATTGGTTCTCTTTTCTTGCCCCCCCCCCACATCCGTGCTCCCAAATTCCGGCCTCTAGGTCTCTGACACAGCACCGTCTCTTCAGAAGGTCTCTGGGGATTCACGCCCCTTCATCATCCACGTGGCAGAGTCTGCTTACAGGTTCGCCCTGGGCTCCGTTGCTGGAGGTCAGTCCTCAATGAGTGTTTACGTCCTCCTTCCTCCTCTTCCTGTCCTCCTCCTCCTCTGCTCCCTTCCCTTTGCCCTTCAAGTACCAGGAGGTAGAGCCGGGTGAGGAGCGAGGCTCTGCCCAGCGTGGCCCCCCCGCTTTGGGGACGCCAGCTCCCCCGAGCCCCGTGGGCAGAGGCCAGGGGCCGGTTAGATTTCTCCTCTTCCCCTTTCCTCCCCCTCCCCCCTGCCCATTCCTTCTTCTCGGCCCTCCCTTTATCTCTGTTCCGTTGCAGCTGTGGGAGCCACTGCCGTCTACCCAATTGATCTGGTGAAGACCCGGATGCAGAACCAGCGGTCCACGGGCTCCTTGGTGGGAGAGCTGATGTACAAAAACAGCTTTGATTGTTTTAAGAAAGTGCTGCGCTACGAAGGCTTCTTTGGACTCTACAGAGGTCAGTGGCCGTGTCTCAGGGTCCTGGGTGCGAAGGTGCACGTATAGGCTTCTCCCCCAGGGCCCCAGCCCTCATTCCGGGCCTCCCGGTCTACCACGCTCGCAGGGTTCTCTGCCCTTGCCGTTTGGCTCCCTCTCCGCCCTTCTGCTCTTCCTTGTCTCTTGGCCGTCCCTCAAGGCCCAGCTCCGGGCTGCGTCTGAGCGTTAGAAGCGTTCACCTTGTATCTCTCTTGTCCGTGCGTATCCCTGGATGCGGCGGGGAGCCTCGGCTCCAGCGAAATCCTCCATCCCTTTGGCGTGTCCAGCGCTCGACGCCTCCCCCGCTGGGCATCCAGCCGTGGGAGAAGGGAGCACCTCGCGTGTGGCAGAGCCGTAGGAAAGATGCACCAGGCGAGGGAGGCTGCTCGGAGAGCGCCAATGTACCCTGGCTGCAGGCTCGGAGGCCCCGTGGGACCTTGGCTAGGTCCCCTGTCCACCTTGGGCTCCGTGGCCTCCTCTGTCAGAAGGTCGGCAGAGAGCTTTACGTGGTGTCACTGCGTGATCCTGACAGCAGCTCCAGAAGGGAGGGAGGTGCTGTTAGGACCCCCGTGCGGGGATGAGCGACGTGCCCAGGGACGCGCAGCTAGCTGGGCAGTGTCTGAGGCAGATTTGAACTCGGGGCTTCCTGATGTGGCTGGACTCGACAGGTTCTGAGAAGGTCCGGCTTGGAATCTGGAGGACCTGGGATCGACTCCAGAAGGCCCTTCCATTCTTTGCCTCCCTGTGGTGGACGTGGAGTGGTTGGAAGGCTCTCTCTGCTGTCACGGCTGAGTCAGGGCCGGGATGGGGGCGGGGGACGCACCGAGCTTTTCTGAGGTTGATCTCTGGGTGTCCAAGGGCTGCCCCGGTCTCCCGGCTGCGTTGGCCGACGGCAGCATAGGACCTGCCTGGGCAGACTTTTCCCCAACCTGTTCCTCACCTGCTGTCATCAGCAAGCATTTATTAAGTACCTGCCGTGTGCCAGGCACTGGGCTCAGGGCTGGGGGCACAAAGAAAGGCCGGGCAGATGCTGCCCCCGGGGAGCTCACAGTCAGCCTTACAAACGAGATGCACATGGGTCCAGGCGGCAGTCACCAACATAGAGGAAAGGCCTTAGGGTTAAGGAGGAGCTGGCGGGGAGAGGCTTCCTGTGGAAGGTGGGGTTTTAGTGGGACTTGAAGGATGCCCGCCTGGGAGGTCTGGAGTCCTGGGAAAGAAGGAGGGAGCGCGGAACAGCCAAGAGGCACACGGTGGGGAGGGGGGGAAGGAGCAGGGTGACTTGGTCAGACCAGGGCTTTAGGAAAATCACTTTGGTGGCTGAGAGGAGGAGAGACTGGGATGGTCGAAGACCGAGTCCCCGACCCCAGCATCTATTGCAGTGGCCGAGCGTGAGGTGATGAGGGTCTGCACCGGGGCCGGGGGGTGAGGGGGGCACATTGGGGACAGGTGTCTTCAAGGAGAAACCCACAAGATTTGTGTTGAAGCGGAGACCCACGAGAGACGTGCATGTTGAAGCGGAGACCCACGACAGATGTGTGTGTCGAAGCGGAGACCCACGAGAGACGTGTTGAAGGGGAACCCATGACGTAGCAGAAACCCACGAGAGACGTCCCATGAGTGTGGGACCTGGTGACAGACTGGGTGTGATCCATGGGCGAGTAAGGATTCCAGGGAAGCGGGAGATTGCACTGCTCAGCAATAACAGGAAGAGGGAAAGGCGTAGGGGCAAAGAGAATGAGTTCAGTCTTGACATGTCTCCAGGCCTCAGTGTCCCCACGTGTAAAATGAGGGGGTTCCCTTTGGATCATCGGGAATGGCTCAGTTTGGACATGTTCCTGGTCGGGGTTGGCATCATCGTGATGACTGCCCCTCACCCGTCCGGCTCTCAGCAGCCCACCGGGTGCATCCTCACACTTTCCCCTGCTCAGACACGGGCACGCCCCTCCTTCATCCGCCATCCGTCTGAGCCGGCCTCGCTCGGGCCCTTCTTTCCCAGGCCTGCAACTTGAGTGGACCCTCCAGGGGACCCTGGCCAGTCACTGTGCCCACGCTTCCCTGTCCACGACCACGTCTGGAAGAACCAGGTGACCGTGGAGTGTGGCCATCCACGCCCTTGACTTTGGCTTCTAGAACGCATGAGCTGAGCAGTAGCAGCAGCGTTAAGAAGCTTGGTTGTTTCTGTTTTTCAAGCGAACCCTGACTGCAGCAGCTTGGAATTCTGGTGGGCATTGCGTGGCCCCCTGAAAGCCCCTGCTCAGGCTGGCCTCCCCTGGCCCTCCCCTGACAAGGCCGGGTCATCTTTTGGAGGAACTGTTTCCCTTCCAAACAAGCCCCCTCCCCCTCTTCAAAGGTCTTTTGATCTTTTCTCCTTGGTACCCCTTCTGGAAGGTCTCTGACCCCGGGCCATTGACGCTGGTGCCTCTCTGGCCGGGGTCACTGCCTCCCTCCCCAGTAGGGAACCGTACAGACGAACTGACCCCGGGCGGTGCCCGCCTGTGCTCGCCTCACCCCTGAACAGAAGGGCGTCCTTGGCACCAAGTTCTTGACTTCTCCCGGTTGGGGGTCCAGCTCACAGCGTTGGCACCTCCCACCATCCCCTCATCCCCTGCCCCTCTGCCACTGCAGCTTCTCACCCTCACCACATCATTCGATCAGTCAAACGTCGGTTAAGTATTCACTCCATGCCCTGGCATACAAAGAAAGGCAGAGACCGGACACCTGCCCTATGCAAGCTCCCGTTCTAATGAAAATACCAGGGCTGTGGGGATGCTTGGTCACCTTCAGACTGACCAGCTGGTGACCTGCTCTTCTGAGGGCCTCCAGCGGGGGCCTCACGTTGGGGAAGATTCCTGCTTGGGAAGGAGGAGCTGGGACTGGCCCTTGGCCTCCCTCGGCATTTTGTCAACCTGGCCCTTGTTCACCTCGGCTAGGGCGGCCCCGAGAACCCCGGCGTCACCCGCTCGCGGGTCCAGCCTTCGGGTGCCTGCGATGCGCCGGGCACCCTCCGACCTCCCCAGGCGGCTTGGCGGGCATCCACCTGTCCTGCAGACGGAGGGAGCCTGGGCGGGGACCACGCGGGTCTGACCGAGGTCCCGGAGACACTTGCTCGTCAGGGGCAGGCCTGGTGCTTCCTGTGCTCCCAGGGTTTCCCTGCTGCGTTTGGTGCTGTTTCTTTCTTCCCTGATTCCTTTCACTCTGTGGGAGGCCTTGGCCAGGGCTGGGCCCAGCCTTCCCTCCCTCTGTTGTGGACAGGCCTGAGTCACCAGACAATGTGGAGACCACAGTGCAGCCTTTTGTCTTCAGAACGCGCTCCGGCTTTAAAGATAGAGTGGACTGGGAAGGGCCTCCTTTTTCTCGGGGCTTTATTTGCTTGTCTGTGGCGTGGGCCTGGCTCCACCGACCTGCTCCTCTGATAGGCAGAAAGACGGCTCCTCTGGAGAACCGGCCTGTTTGAATCATTGTAGGAAATGAGGCCCAAGGCTGCCTCGGAGGGCTGCAGGGAGGAGGGGGCCGCCGAATCACGCCAGCTGAGCGGACAGCAAATGTGCGATGGCCGGGCTGCTCCGCCGACCCACCCGGGCTTCCAGACTGCTTTGGTCACTGTCGTGCCCGTGGAGCCTGTGGTGGGAATCCAGATGAAAGTCGCAGCTTTGCGGGAGTTGGCCGGGGCAGTGCAGTGATCACCTCCGTGGGTGGGTGGCCCATTGTGTCCCAGTGCAGAGTCGAGGACCTGCCCTCCAGGCTCATTTACGGTCATTGCTGCCAGGGGCTCCCACGCTCCTGGGCAGCCGGCTCAGGGGCCCCAGCTTAGCCCTCAGCATGCCAGCAGCCCGGGGCACACCTGGTCAAGGTGAGAATCCGTGGCGTGGCCGCGGGAGGATGCGGAGCATCCCTAAAGCGGCCACCATCTTCCCTCCTGGCAGAGGGAAGGCATCAGGCTAACAGAGCCTGGCACGGGGAATAAGGCTGAGAGGCCTTAGGCGGGCGTGCCAGGCGCTGTGCTGAGTGCTGGGGACGCAGAAAAGACCAAGAAAGACCGTCCTTAACCTCAGGAAGATCCCATCTGATGAGGGAGGATGGAGCCCGAAAGGAAGCTGAGAAGGGCCGTCCGGCCGACAGCAGAGCCGGACCGGGCAAGTGCCCCGGAACCTGTCTGCCGGGCAGCCAGGCGTCAGAATGGGACTGTCCACCGCCTTGGCTGCTGCTGATCAGGGTGCAAAGTGAGTGCCCCAGACCTCAGCTGGGCCCACAGTGGGATGCCCACGCGGGAGGGCCGGGGAGGCACCACAGTGCTCAGCCGGCTGACCCTGGGCAGGGCATTTCTTAGCCTCTGCCTCAGTTTCCACAGCTGTAAAATGGGGATCATAACCACATCCACCTCCCAAGGTTGGTTGTTGTGAGGATCACACAGTGCCCAGCCCACAGTAGGTGCTTCATAAATGCTGCTTCTCCCTTCCGCTGTTCGAGGTACCGAGATTACAAAGACAGACGTAATCCAGCCCCTGCCATCTCAGACCTGACCTGTTAGCTGTGGCACGTGCCTGTTCCACATGAACACAAGTTAATTGGGAGGGCTTGGGAGAGGGGAGGGAAGGGGAGAACCAGGAGCGAGTCAGTATAGGAAGCCATGCTCCCTCTGAAAGACAGGGGAAGAGGCAGTGCACGCGTACAAGGGCGTGATGGTAAGAGATGGCTGCTGGGCGTGCAGAGCAGGGAGAGGCAGGCTGGGGCCAGGTCTATGAGGAAGAGGGGCTATAAGTCAAGGGACCTAGCAGAAGGCCATTAGCGTGAGCAGGGGTTCCGTGGTCCGGGGTGTGTGAGGCCCGGGACGAGGGCTGAGACACAGGGAAGGCGGCTTCCCGTCCACACGGTCTTGGGTCCTTGTGCTTGCACCCATGGCGCCAGGCTGTCCTGCAGCCTCCCGTGAGGAGCCCCTCCAGCCATTTCCTGCACCTCCCTGGGCTTTTCCACCTCTGGGGGTTGCTTCACATGCCAGGGTTCCTAGTTCTCTTCAAGGCCCCCAGACCCTCATCCGTCTTCTGCATTCTAGTCCCCCCTCCCTCGATTTCTCATGGGCAGGTCAGACTGGACGCGTCCAAAAGGAACCGTCCCCTCCTCCATTCCTGCCCGTTTCCTTCCGCTGCTGAGGTTCACCAGCTTAGCAGCGTATGTGGCTCTCTGCCTCCCTCGTCCATCCGTCCCCTCCCAGGTGCCCGGTCTTTGACTGAGCTGCGCCCTATCCCTGGAATGCTCCTGGCCTCCTTCAGGGTTTTGCTCAGGTCCTCCCTGCCCTGGGAGGCCTTTCTTCTCCAGATGTCCTCGTTCCCTCCTTCCTTCCATGACCTGCTCCCAGAGGGTCTGCCGTTGTTGGGGGCCTGGGCTTCAGGATACAAAGACGGACCTGCCACAAGGCCAGACTCGCACCGTCTGCTCGCGACCCTTCCTGTATTCCCTGCACACGTTCATTGAGGCAGGGATGGTGACTGAGCCCACCCTGGGGTCATCGGTGCTTTTTATCACTTCCTAGTGCCCAGCTCCCATCGAGCAGGAGAAACCAGCACGATGACCGTGGCAGCAGTCCACCACCGCATCCTCAGTCGTCTGAAGACTTGTGGTTTTGTTTTCTGACAAGTTCGTGTGGTCATCCGATCAGTTGTTCTCCTGGTCCTGCTGACTTCCTCCTGCCTCTGGGCACGAGGCTCCTGCCAAGCTTGGCTGGACTTTTGGCCTTCATTCTCTTCTTCCTGTTTCAGCCGTTCCCCCTTTGATGGGCACTCACCTTTTTTCCTTTTGGTTCAGTGCTGTTAACAAAAGTGTCTGTGGGGCCTTTTGCTCTGTCTTTAGTTTCCTAGTAATGGTATTGTAGGGTCAAAGGGTGTGGACCATTTAGTGACATTTTAAAATATAATTCCAAATGGTTTTCCAGAATGGTCAGACCAGTTCATAGTTGTACCAGCAATGGGCCAATCGGCTCATCTTCCCCCAACCGCTCTGACAATTACTGTTTTTGTCCTTTGTCGTTTTCCCGGTCTGATGTGAAAAATCTGAGTTTTCTTAGTTTGCATTTCTTGTTATTAGTGATTTGGAGTATTCTTTCCTACCGTTATTGGTGGCTTCGGTTTCATCTTTGGAAAACTGCCTCTGTTGGGTAAGAGGCTCTCATTCCCTCTATTTGCATCAATTCCTTGGATGTCATGGATGTCAGATCCTGGTCCAAGATGGTTGCGGTAAATTCATATCTTCTAACTGTAGTTATGTTGACTTTGTTCATGCAAAAACTTTTCAGTTACATGTATTTAAAATTGACCATTTCGTTATGGGACTTGGAGCTAGGAGGCACCTCAGATAGGAAGTGACTTGCCCACAGTCACCCAAGTAAAGAGTTGAAAGATCCAAACTCAAGTTCTCTGACTGTACCTCACTATTTTATGTGATTGTGCGATCACCCCTTTCTCTTGCTTGGTTTAGAATTTCCCTTCTACAGATAAAACTATCCCCATTTGCTGATGACATGATGGTTTACTTGGAAAATCCAAAGAAATCAGCAAAGAGGCTAATACAGACAGTTAAGAGCTTTGGGCAAACTTTCAGGCTACAAAATAGACCCTCAAAAATCGACATTTATGTAATAATAACAAAATACAAGAAGCAAAACTAGAAAGGGAAATGTCCTTCCAAATAACTACAAAATGTATAAAGTATCCGAGAATCAGTCTTCCAAAGTACACAAAAGACAAGTATAGATCCAATCACAAAGCACTCCATAAAGAAATAAAGAATAGCCTAGTAACTGCAGGGCTTTTTGGTGCTCATGGGTGGGCTGTGCCAATATGATAAAAATGACAATACTGCCAAAAGTAATTTACGCTTTTGATGTCATACCAATCAAATTACCAAAGGGAAGCTTCGTAGAACTTGATAAAAATAATAAAATTCCTTTGGAAAAGCAGAAGATCTAGAATATTAAGGAAATTATGAAAAGAAGTAAGGATAAAGGGGGAATAGCATTTCCACATCTCAAACTGTATCTTAAAGCAGTTGTCAAAATCATCTGATGTTTAAAAAAAAAAAAAAAAGCAAAGTCATAATCATCAAAACAATCTGATACTGGCTAAGAAATAGGGTGATCAGTGGAACAGATTAGATACACAATATACAGAGGTAAATGAGTACAGTAAGGTAGTATGTAATAAACCCTTAGGTCCAAGCTATCAGGATAAGAGCTCACTGTTTGACTAAAACTGCTACGAAAGCTGAAAAGCAGGGTGGTAGAAATTGGGCTTCAACCAATGCTTTATGCCATACTCCACAATACAATCTAAATGGACACACAGTATGAATGGTTAATTAATCATTATTAATGATCAGACTATTAAATTTTAAAAAAGAGAAACAGGAGATGTATTCTTAACCAAACAAGGGATAGAGACAGTTACAAAAGAGAAGATAGGAGCAGCTACCTGGCGCAATGGGTAGAGTACCCGCCCTGGAGTCGGGAGGACTTGAGTTCAAATCCTGCCTCAGACACATAACACTCACTAGCTGTGTGACTCTGGGCAAGTCATTTAGCCCCAAATTGCCTCACCAAAAAAAAAAAAAGAGAGAGAGAGACCTGTGCCAAGCTCAAGTGAAAACAGGGACCAGTAAGCTGTGTATAAGGATCCCTGTACAGGAGCAGCAAAATTGACTTAAAAACAACGTATCAGTGTCCATTTAAATACATTTTACTTTGCATAGAGCTGCTCCCACGAGTGTTATGGACCACATAGGGTCACCTCTGCTCTGAGTCATTAATAAGAGAACTGTAAATCCAGACAACTCAGAGGTTTTACCTTAATCCTGCAAATTGACAGTGATGACAGAAAATCGCAGTAGTCAGTGTTGGAGGAGCTGTGGGAAGATAGGCACACTGGTACATGGTTGGTGCAGTAGTAAATTGGTACAACCATTTTGGAAAAGCGTTTTGAATTGTGCAAGTAAAGTAACTAAAATGTCCATGCCCTTTGACCCAGAGACTGGGCTTGAGGTGTGCTCCAGGAGACCATTGGTAAAACGGAAGTCCCCATGTACACAGAATAAATAGTTAGAGCTTCCATGACATGATGGCTAGCCCAGCGGTGGCACGGGAGCATTATGGAAAGTTCCTGTGCCCTAAGAACTGAGGTAGGTGACGAATTCTGAGGATGGAAAGCACCCTAAGAACTGACACAGAGCCCAGAAAACAGTGCGACCGTGGCTATGGAAAGCATGAAGACGTCGCCGGTAGCAGAGAAGGACGCTTCGAAGAAGGGAGGGCAGAAGGCGCTCCCGAGTCGCCTCTGCCTAGCGAGGTGGGAGCTCCATGGCGGTGGCCCCATTACACATGCCGGACTTTTTCCAGTGGCTGTGCCAGGTCTTTTAAAAGTTAGCTATTTTCTATTTGTTACGTAGAATACAGGGTTGCTCTCCTGAGAGGCAGAGGGGAGGAAGAACAGGGAAAGCTGCGATGATGCCAGAAACAAATGAATGTTCCCTCCCTGTATAGCTGTGCACGGTATCCATGTCTGTGCGTCTGTGTGTCATTCTGTTTGTGTGTGTCTGTGTGCCTGTATGTCCAGTGCTGCCAGCCCAGGTGTGCGCTGGTGGATCTCGGTCTGGCCGTCCTTTCTGCTGCGCGCTCCCGTCCAGTCCAGATCTGCTCACTTTGGTGATTGCAGGGTCTGGATTACCTCACTGGCCTCTGATCAGCTTTTGGGGTTGGTGGTTTTTTTACAGGTACCTGATAGCTTCGACAGGGATGTAGCAGCCTGAGCCCCGCTGTTTGCAGCACACCGAGGCTGGTGGAGCCGTCGTCCCTTGTGTTAGGGATGGCAGAAGGGCGAGAAAGCCTCACCTGATTCATTGCATCTTCTAGGGCAGTAGCAGTAGAACAGAAAGACACCTTCTCATCTCTTAAATATGGAAACTGAGGCCCTGGGAGCCTCCAGGACTGGGCCACAGTCACACGGTTGGCAGGTCGCAGGCCCTTCGTCCCCAAAGGCTGTGGTCTAGTGGATTCCCTGGCATTCCAGCCTTTCAGCTCCAGCGTCAGCCCTCTGACAACAGGGCAGCGGTCTGTGGGATGAGGGATCCGTGGCTGCGTGCGGCTCCTTTTTCGTGACTTTGTCCGCCCTTGGATGCTCACCCCAAATGCGAGGCGGCTCCCAGGCGGGCGGGCAGCGAGCGGCTGGGGCATGCCTCCTTTCTGACCGTGCCTGTGCTCTTTGGCCCGCAGGTCTGGTGCCCCAGTTGTTGGGGGTCGCCCCGGAGAAGGCCATCAAGCTCACGGTGAGTGTGCAGGGCGCCGCTGTGCGTGTCCACCAGGCATCCGCTGGGGCGTGCTGCTCACGTTCTTTGCTCTCCTGTCTTTCAGGTCAATGATTTTGTCCGCGACAAGTTCGAACGCAAAGATGGCTCTATCCCCCTGGCAGCGGAAATCCTCGCTGGTGGCTGTGTGAGTACTCGTGCCGGGCTCTGGTGGATCCTCCTTCCCCTTGTACTTTCGCGGACTAAGGCGTTGTGTTTAACCGCAGGCCAGCCCATAGGACAGCGCCAGCTGCTCCTCCTGGAGACCGGTAAACACTCTGGCCTTCTTGCCTGCTGTGTGCGTCCCGTCCCGTGTCTGCACTGTCACCGCCTCAGGCCTGGGGTCGTTCTGCATGTGCTCGCGCTCTGGCCATCTTTGCATCTGCAGGAGGGAGCTCCCTCCCCACCTCTGAGCCCTAGGCAGGGAGGCTGGCATGTCCTGGCTCACTGCATGGTGTCTTCTAGGTGACTAACGCAGCCGCCCACCCCGAGGTCCACAGCCCTGTCCGTCTTGTTGCTGGCCAGTGCCGCAGAAAGATGGGGTGTCCTGCCAAAGTATGGGGCATCTCCTTTAGAGATGAGGTGGCCCCCCTCGTTGGCATGGAGGAACTCACTTTTTCTCAGCCCCCCTCCAGGGCAGAGGCTGGGGGTGTAGGCAGAGCTCATGGCTGTGTGGTCAGTGGTTAACGCAGGTGTGGACGGGACGCTGCCCCTTAATCTCTCTCCCTTCCCTCGTCGATCATTTCAGTGAGGCAGGAACGCGGCAGGTTTAGCTTTCCACTCTTCTCCTGCGAGGGGACAGGCCCGGCCCCTGCTTCACTGCTCACGGCATTTGATCACTGACCTGTTACGGCTCCCCGGAGACCTCTGGGGCAAAGAGGGTGCCTGTGGCCTGCTGGAAGGAGAGGCCGGGGAAGCCGCGGCGAGCTAGTGGGGGCTGGCCACGCCCACCCCGCCCCGGGGATCTCAGACTTGTTGGGCAGGACGCTGACAGCCTGGATACAAGAGGAGTTCCTCTTGGTCTTTGAAGCAGGAAGTTAATTAGGAGCATCGGCTCCACATTTTGGCCACGAATGTGCCCTGAGAGTGACTTTCCTTGTGTGAAAGTGTGTGAAGCCAGGCGCTGCTGGAGCATTGGCCACCATCCTAGGTAGAGTCACCAGCGTTGTGGCATCGCTTCCTGGGACTAGCTGCCCCCCAGCCTCGGATGTGAGCTGCTCTCACCCCAGGGGAAAGGCCCGTCTGGGGGATGAGAGTCAAGCCCACTCTTTTAAAGGCCTGTCTTTGTAACAAAGCAGTGCTGTTAGTGAAGTCTGGCCACCACCTCTGCCTGGCCTCTAGATAGGGCTCCTCTCCCTCCCTCCTCCCCCTTCCCGTCCCCCAGCTCCTCCTCCTCCCCACCACCACGAGCTATGTTAAGCATCTTCTGACAAACCATCACGACAGCTCTGCGAGGCAGAGTCTGCTGTACCCCCATCTTAGGGGGAAAGTTGAGGAAACCAAGCAGAAGCATGTGGTTCATGTGACAGCACCTACTGTGTGCCAGGCACTTCACGAGCAGCCTGGGAAGGAGGTGACTGGTGAGGCCCAGAAAGGCCAAGTCACCTGCCCAGAATCACAGAGCAAGGAAGCATCTGAGGCCAGATTCACCCTTGGGCTTTCCTGAGTCCACCTTCGCTGCACGCCCCCCCCCCCACCCCGAGATGCCAGGACAGGCCAATAGAGCAGCTCTTTGTGTGTGGAGCTATCCTTTCACGGGCGTGAGGCCATCGCACATCGGTACAGACCAGCACCAAAGCCCATATGCTGGCGCTGAAGCAGGAGTCTTCACGTCAGGCGGTCTGTCTCCCACTGAAGGCCTCAAGCCTTCCCTGGGTGGTCCTGGGGGCCCTTGGCCCTCGGCTCCCGAGAGTTAATGGCGCAGGCGTTGGAGGCCTGGAGATTGCTAGGAGAAACGCAGACATCGACCAGGGCGGCGTGGTGGCGGGATCGGGACCTGGCTTTGGTCTGACCGGGGCCGGTGGGGAATGTCCCCCGTCTCTCCCCGACCTTCTCGATAACCGCTTTTTGCCCCACTGTGAATTTGTAAGGGGATCGATCATCCACTGTGGAAAACCAGATGCCCACATACTCCAGACTGCACATCCTTTGACTTGGAAACGTCTTGAGATCGGGGACTGAATCAGAACAAATTGGCCCACAGGCCTTGGGGGGTGACGAAGAGCTGTGCCCCCGAGGGTCTGCCCGCAGAGCCCACGCGCCCCATGCAGGGTCCCCTAAATGAGAACTCTTTCTTTAGGCTGAGCTCATTTAAGTCTCTGCTGCTGTAGCATGGAAAATTGCTGGGATTTATAATGGGCGATAGTGAGGCTTTAGGAAATTAAATTCCTCCTTGGTGGAATTTTAGGGCTGATGAGGGCTTGTGTTTTCTGAGTCTTTGTAAGCAAGTGGTAGCTTAATGAGAACCTGACCTTTGGGTTTCCTGCCACCATCTTGAGCACTTTTGCATCGCAGACCTTCTCAGCCCAACACGGGCTGGTGCCTTTCTTCCCCTCGGAGTGCCCCGTGTGTCCCGGCCCCACGCTGGCCCGTCTAGAGAATGCCAGAAGCTCAGTGAAGAGACCCGATGAGTCCTTCCAGACCTCCGGGGGGAGGGAGCCCCTCTGGGGCGGGTAGCTGTCCTCCAGAGTTCATGGGGAGCTCACTCCCCGCTGTCAGGGAGGAGTAGCTGCCGTTGGTGCCTTCTCTCCACCTCTGGGGGGCGCTAAAGGTCAGCCAGCCCCAGCAGTCCCACCAGTACTCCTCCTCTTCAGCCCACGTTTATCGAGTGCCTGCTCTGTGCCAAGCACTGTGCTAATTCCTGAACGTGCCAAGAAAGGGTCAGCTTGCCCTCAAGCAGCTCCCGGTCTCTTGGGGGAGACAGCAGGCGGACGGCTGCATCCGGACAAGACACGCGCCACCCACACTGGAGAAACTCTGGTTTCTTAGAGTCGGTCGGAGAAAAACCAAAAATAATAGTTCGCATGGGGGTCAGCTGGGCCGGACGCAGTCCTCCCTCGCTTTGGTGCCCTCGAAGCTGATCTGCGTTCTGTCGCCATTCCCACACGAGCCAGGCGTCACTCCGGGTTGCTGACAGAGAGATCAGAGACCTCCAGGACTGTCCAGACCCCTTCCGAAGGCTGTGTTTCCTCAAACCTCTGCTCAAGAGGTTCTCCTCGGCGAATCCTGCTCTCTGGTGCACTTTGACACCATCGGTCTCCTCCCTTGTGTCCCTCTCATACTGAGTGTCTGTTCATCCCTGAGGCGGCGTGCCTCTCATCAGAAGGGGGTCAGCCGGGGTTCTAAGCAGGCATTTTCTGCTGCCTAGAACAGCTGGGCGAGGCGGCCTCTTGGGCCTGGTCCAGCTTGGGGCCGTGATTGTACGATATCCTCTGCGATGCCAGGCTTGGTCGTGTGCGCCTGCCGGACCCACCAGTGTTTCGTGGCGATCTCTGGGGCTTGGTCTCTTCCGGTGTGTTATCAGCTCCGGGGAAACTCGTGCTTTATTTGTGTGTCCCTGGCGCTGGCCTGGAGCAGGATCCTTAGCCCATTCTGGGTGCTTGGTCAAGGTCTGGAGGCTGCCTTGGAGAGGCTGAGCTGGGGGTCAGGGCTGGGCGAGAGGATAAATAAGAAAATTCCATCTTGAGCGCTAGTATCTAGTAGATGATGTAGCAGACTGCAAGATGAACTTGGGGCATTCTGTACTTTTTTGCTTGTTAAAAGCTGCAGCAGAATCTAGATGCAGACTCGTGGAATTTTAGCACTGGAAAGGACCCATTTCATAAATGTGGAAGCGGAGGCCACCCTCGTGGCGGTGACTTGGCTGAGGGCATATACGACATCAGGGCCAGGCCTGGGCCCAGACCCGAGGTCTCTGGCCATCCCAACGCTTCTTTTGTGCTTTCTTCCTCCCCCTCGGGAAGGGACGGGGCTGTTGGAACCCAAGTCACCCCTCTGGCTGTCGAGTTAACTCACAAGGGATTGATTAGGATGTGGAAGTGGGAAGAGTGATGAGGTCCCACTTTTCCCCCAGCTCAGGTACCTGAGCCATAGAAGGGTCTGTAAGTCATGAAGAGACACTGAGAGGAGCGGTGAAGTAGCCAGGGCGTTAACAGAGCTGACGGGTCTCTGGCTTCATTGCTTTACTGACGTCAATCGAGCCCACTCTACTTGGGTTTCTTGGCCAGACTCCTGAAGAGAGACGGGGCTGCAAGAGTGTGTGGACTGTCAGTGAGCCGTGAGCCAGGGCGAGGCCAGGCTGGCGGCGGGTTCTGGTCTCCCCGCACTGGGCCGGGGCACGAGGCTCTTTGGGTTTTCTCGGGTCTGACCTCCTAGCTGAGGTGATGGTCCTCCTTGCTGCAGCCTGCTTCAGCCACTGATGTGGCCGTGGCGTCTTCCTCATCCTCTCTGGAGACGGCTGGCCAGACTTTGGATGTTACACCTCAGCCATCTCCCCACCGGCCCCTGCCCTCCGGCCATCATCATCCTCGTGTACCCCCCCCCCCCCCCCCCCCCCCGCCCCCGCCCCCCCGCCCCCCACCCTCCTCGTCCCCCCCCCCCCCAGAGGTGGAGCCTGGGCTGCGTGGAGCCGCATGCTTCCCACATGGAATCTCTGCTCTCGGATGGGCAGGGGGCTGTCTCACTAGCTTTGGGTATGCCTTCTGTTTGATTCCATGGTGCCCGGCACAGACGGCAACCGTCTCATTCATCGTCATCAGTCACCAGATACTGGCCATGCTCTCCTGTTCGCCCCAAGGACAAAACGCCACGTTTTATCTGGAATCAGGCCATGGTTTGTCCAGTAATCATGTGTTGGGATTTTAGTTTTTAAAAATCAGTCATATTCCATAACTTTATATTCATCTATTTTTGACATGTGCAAGGACACATTTCAGAATGTCAGTGTGCAATTAGATATTCTTAGCACATGTCACTTAGGAAAGCACTTTAAATCTGAGTACATTCAATTGAGCATAATTAAAATATCAAGATCCATATTCTTCATATACATTTGCCACTTAATTTTTTAAGTAGCTTGAAGTATCTGCCGTGTGAATCCAGAATGAAATGGCACGATTGTGTTACTGTCACATTGAGCACATTTACTTTAAAGCAGTCTCATTCGCCATCAGTGTCCTGGCAGGTTGAGAGTGGACCCAAAGGAATGACCGACTTTGTTTCTAAGACAGGCTGTTGGAGGCGTCGTCCCAGAGGCCAGGAAAGAAGCACTTTGCCTCTGGCCGGGTGTTTGAAGTAGGCTCTTATTTCCCTGTGAAGGGAAAGCTGGCAGAAAAAAGAAGAGCCCGTTTGTGGCTGTCGGAGGGCTGGTTGTGGAGATGTGCCAGGAGCCCCCAGCTCCTAGGGCTGGCCGCTGGAGAACTAGGAACTCTGTGCTGAGGGGGAAGAACTAGGTCCTCCCTGAGAACCACTGGCCCAGCATGTTAGGGTGGGGGGGGGGAGCAAAGCTCATTCACATGGAGGTCCCCCTTTATTTAGCCTGCTACTAGACTGCTTTGTATCCTGAGCATTGGACGATCCAGAGGCAAAGTTGGACATTTTGTTACTCATTTTAAAATTGCAGCTTGTGTCATTCATCACTTGCCTCAAACTCCCACCTGAATTTATTTGTTTGTTTGTTTGTTTACTTTTTGGTGAGGCAGTCAGGGTTAAGTGACTTGCCCAGGGTCACACAGCTAACAAGTGTCTGAGGCCAGATTTGAACTCAGGTCTTCCTGACTCCAAGGCCAGAGCTCTATCCAATGTGCCACCTAGCTGCCCCCCACCTGAATTTATTAAATAGTACTTACTAAATAAACTGGAGAAAGCTCTTTCCCAATAGTATCTACTTATAACTCTCTGTTAAGTCCTTTAATGATTAAATACTGAATATATAATTTGTTAGCTAAGAAAACAAAGACAGATTCTTACTTATAATATTTTGGCTATGAGAAAGGTAACTGCCAGTCACCTCAGAGCCTCACTGTAGCTGTTTCCAGCCCATTCTGGCACCGTCTTCATATCCTTTTTTCCTTAAAGTGGGAGGAAGATTGATTCTCCCAAGGGGCAGCAAGGTGGTGCAGTGGATATAGCTCCTGCCTTGGAGTCAGGAGCTGAGTTCAAATCCGGCCTGAGACACTTGACACTTACTAGCTGTGTGACCCTGGGCAAGTTACTTAACCCCGATTGCCTCACTTAAAAAAAAGAAAAAAAAGATTGATTATCCCTGAAAATAAGTTGCTTTGGTCCTCTCTTCAGCCATTCCAAGGAATGATCTCTGCAGAATGACTGTAAGCTACCAGTTGCTTACAGAAGCTTCATAGACTTCTCTGTCATTTCATTGTGGTCGAAGGAGCATGATGTTTCTTTTTACCCTCTTCCTTTTTTACTTCTCCAGAGCTCGCCTACATTACGTTTGGCTCTTAAAGGCACAGTTCAGTCACTGTCTCCTTCCCAGCAAACCGTCTCTCGAGAGGGCATCTCACCGCCTCTGAGGCAGACCGTTCCGCTTAGGGAGAGTTGACGGTTCAGAACTGTTCCCCGGCATCCAGCCTCTGAGATGTGCCTCCTCATAGTCTCTTTTTGTTGTTGTCATTGTTGTTCCATCGTTTCCGGCACATCCAGTTCTTGGGGTTTCTCGGTTTGCCCATCTCCTTCTCCAGCTCATTTTACCGATGTCCTCAAGGGGCCCTTTCTAGAGGGAACTCCGGAGTGGATCTCAGGTGAGTGGCTTAAAACCGGTGCGATATTCCCAGCATTTAGAACACGCAGGTTTGGGTTATTAGGAGACAGATACTTTGCCCTGCATTCACTTTGGTGAAGAGCTGATGAGAGCATGATGGACGCATCAGTGAATTATCATGACCAAGGAAAGTGGTGTGAGGAGCCTTGGGACACAGCCACGCACATGCATGTCTTCTGCTGCCCTGCTGGGGGGGACACCCACGTGGCCTCCCAGCAGCATCAGCAGGACTTCCAGGGAGGATGTACAAAGGCTGTGCAGAGCCTTTTAGAAAATCAGATAGCCAGCCCCGATCCCTTTCATTTCCTCCTGTGGCTGTTCTTTTTAAAGCTACACATGTTTTTTACACGTGTACATGTTCCTTTTACATTGCCTGGATTTCCTCCTGTTTCTATTCCTTTCCTTTTGCTATTCCTGAAAATGGCATTTTTTAATAAAAATTAAAAGATGAGTAAAAGAAAGAATCAGCAGAGTTGATCAGTACATTGAGAAAAAAAATCTGAACATCATATGCAGTGTTCCACGCCCATGAACCCTTCCCCTCTGAAGAGGAACAGGACAGGGGTCTTCTTACATCCCTGTTTTGAGACCAAGCTTGGTCTTAGTGATTGTGTGACATTCATTTCTGATTGTTTTGTGTTTAGAGGAACATGAAATGTGAGAATTTCCCCTAACTTTCCTCTCCCTTTTTACCCTGGGAAACCTTTTCTCCTCCCTTTCCTTTTTTTTCAGACCATGAAGAAATAACATGCGCACAGACACACACACACACACACACACACACACACACACACACACACACACACACCCCACACCCCCCACACCCCTCTCTGCCTTGCTTGGCTTCTTCCTTCTAGGACTCCTCATCCCTAATGAAATTACAGTACCGAGGAGATGTTGGTACCATCTCTTCTGTTAGAATATCAGCCTTCTTCTTCGTTGTGTTTCTTAGGATTCCTCATCAGGTCGCGTGCCTTTGGATTATTTTTTCACGTGTGTGTTTATGTATCAAAAGTTTCTGCTCAGTTCTGGTCTTTTCTCAGAAATGCTTGAAAGTCCTCAATTTCACTGAAGGTCTGTTTTTCCCCTGTAGGATTATGCTCAGTTTTGTTGGGTAAGTTGTTCTTGGCTAGAACCCTGGAGCTTTTGCCTCTTTTTCTTCTTTTTCAATAGGTCATATTCCAGGCTCTTCACTCTTTCAGGGTGGTGGCCACGAAATCTTTTGTGGTCCAGTTGGACTCCTCCAGATTTTGTCTTTCTGGCTTCTAGTGGGTGTTTTGTTCTGTTTTGTTCTTTGACCAGGAAGCTCCACACATTAGCTACGAAATACATGGGAGTTTTCGTTTTCATTTTGGGGTATTTTCAGGAGGTGACCGCTAGATTCTTTCTGTTTTCCTCTTTGCCCTCTGGTTCTAAGATCTGGGCAGTTTTATGAATGATTATAGAACAAACAAATGAATGAATGAATGAATGAAAAAATTATTAATACTAGGACAGCTAGATGGCACTGTGGATAAAGCTCTGGGCTTGGAGTCAGGAAGACTCATCTTTGTGAGTTCAAATCTGACCTCAGACACTTGCTAACTCTGTGACCCTGGGCAAGTCACTTAACCCTGTTTGCCTCGGTTTCCTCATCTGTAAAATGGGGATAGTAATAGCAGCTGCCTCCCACAGTTGTTGAAGTATCAAATGAAATGATGTTTGTGGACTGCTTCACATAGTGCCTGGCACGGAGCTCACCTAAATGTTGGCCCTTACCTGTTAATGGTAGCTAGTGAAGAAGCGGGAAGCCCTCTGGTGAGCCTCCCCCACCACACTGTCTAGGCTCAGACCTGGCCCCAAAGAGGAGGGAGTGTGTGCCCTTGCATTAAAGTGCCACGGACTGCTCCCCACCAGTTCCATTTCCATTCACGCCCTAGGGAGACGACTGAGGCAGAACCTCAGTGAGCAGCGTCCCCACAAGACACAATGGGTGTGTCTGTCGGCAATCTGCCCTCTTGAACTGGCTTTGATCTTGACGCGGGGAGAACGTTCTAAAGTCTGGTCTTAAGGGAGGGCGCAGTTGCACCCTGATCACTCATCTGGTGATAAGCATCTGCATTCAGGTGGTGCCTTGGAGACTCTGAGGCTGCCTTGCCTATGGCTCTCGGACGCCGATTCTGCCTTTTCAACGTCGGAAGTGTCAGGAAACGCCTTCCTAGCTCCTCTTGAACCCTGGGAATTCTTGCCAGCGTGGGCTGCACACCGGTGCCTTGATGGTTCTTTTGTGCCAAAAAACAGGGCTGGGCTTCCCATGGAACGTGGCTGCCTAGTAGAAGATGTCGGCGCTCATTTGGAATTGCCGGAAGGCCAAGCTCCCTCTCAAAGTGAAGGCAGAATGACCGCCAGGATTGGCAGAATTCTAAAAACCGACTCTTCTGACCGCTACGGAGCTTCTCTCCCTCTGCGTTCCTGATGGGTGGGCGCGCTCCCTCCTGCGTCTGCCTCCCCTGGGCTTCCCGTCAGGGATGAGAACCCAAGGTGGCACCCATCCTCTTCTGCTCCGTCCCTGCCCGTGCCCTGCACCAGCCATCCTGGGGACAGGGCTCCCTCCTCCTCTCACGTGGGTCAGGGTTGTGGCTGGGAGGGGGGCTCCTTGTTTGGCCATAATCCTGCGTCTGTCAGGTTGAAGTTCACGGCAGCGTGTGGTTATGAATGAGAGCGTGGGAATGGAGCTCTTGCCCAGGCTCTGCCCCCTGCCTGATGTGCCTGGCCTCCTTCAGGGTCCCGTCCTGTGCCCCTCCTCCAGTCACATTACGCACACACTGCCTGTTGGTTCCCCTGTGCCCTCCACCCCAATAGGATGCCAGCATCTTGGGGCCAGCCCGGGCATTCATTGGTGAGGGGCGAGGGGCAAGGGGCCCTGGGTTGCAGGCGTCGCTTTTCTCAAGGTTCTGTCTTTGACTTTCAGGCCGGAGGCTCGCAGGTGATTTTCACAAACCCACTAGAAATCGTCAAGATCCGCTTACAAGTGGCTGGAGAAATCACCACAGGCCCTCGCGTCAGCGCCCTGTCCGTGGTCCGTGACCTGGGCTTCTTTGGAATCTACAAGGTAATTCCTCTTGGAATCACCCCCTGGCTTCAGTGAGTCAGCAAGACTTGTGTCATGCCGGGGTGGGGGGGGGGGGGGCGGCCTAGTGCCGAGGTGGGGACCAGCAGAGCTGGCGTCAGCAAGACCTGAGGAGGTGTCCACAGCCAGTCCCGAAAGGTGGAGTGTGTCCTCAAGGGTCCAGGCCAAGAGTCAGGGCCCCAGTAAGCGCTAGATAGAGGCTTGGTGTGAGCCGGCACTTGGAGAAGCTCAACTTCTCTCCCCAGTGAGCACTTATTAAGCACCTACTGTGTGCCAGCTGCTGCTCTGATACAAAGAAAGGCAGTAGCCAGTCCCTGCCCTTGAGGAGCTCCTGGTCTTCCAGGGGAGACCACAGGCAAACAGCCAGCTCCCAACCAGATAGATGGGGGAACAGCGGGAGATGGTCCCAGAAGAGGCAGAAGGGCACCAGGGCAGCCAGGAGGCAGAAGTGAGGAGTGAGAGAGCCTGAGAAAACACCCAGAGTGGAGACGTGGAGCCTTGGAGGTCACTGGATGGCAGAGTGGGGGAGGGGCCAGACACCCCCCAGTCCCAGTCCCTGGAGGGGTGGCCTTCTTAGAGGAGAGAATCAACAGAGATGGAGGGGGAGGAGTCACCAGGGATGCCTAGGTTGTGAGCCTGGGTGACTGGAAAATGATGAGCGCCATCTTGGGAGAGGTTGGATTGAGATGTCTCCAGGATGTCCAGTTTGAGATGAGTGGAAGGCCATTGGAGAGGCCGGGTTGGAGGTCGGGAGAAAGGTTGGGGCAGGAAAGACAGATCTGAGGATCATCACCCTAGAGGTGGTCATTGGGTCCATGGGAACGGAGGGCCCAGGACAGAGCTGGAGAGACGCCTGTGGCGTCTGGCTGGACGGACTGTCACTGTAGATGTTAAAGTAAGAGAGCTGCAGAGAGACCGTGAGCCAGGCTTGGAGCAGAAGAAAGGAAGGGAGGGCAACAGGGTTCTGGAGGCCTGTGGACACCAGTGACCAGGATATTCATTGCACAGTAACTTTGGGGGGGGCGGTGACTGAGTGATGCGGGGCCTGCGAGTGGCCACGGCGGGATGGAAGGCATAGTCTGACTTTGCCACATCAAGCAGTGATGCCAGGGAGTGAGGAAGGCGCAGCCAGCCTGGGAGGCTGTGTCATCTGAAGATGGAAGGAGTGGGGATGAAGGCACGATTGTTCCTGGTGGAGCAGGGACTGCAGAGGGCACAGTGGAAGGGCAGGATGTTTGTGGGGCTGGGCTGAAAGGGGGCAGGAATATGGGAGCGGTCAGTGGAAGGTGGGAAAAGGTGTGTGTTTGTTTTTTAATGTCAACCCAGGATTCAGAATCCCAGAGATGAGGAGGGGTACCTGGGTCAGAGTTGGCTCATCTTTGAGGAATAAATTCAGGTATCCATCCTTCGGGTTTGGTCTCTGGGATGAGTCCTCCCAGGTCAAGCCAGCTGCATCGTAGCTGAGGGCAGGGAAGGGGGAATGCAGTGGGCAAGCTCAGGTGAGGCGGCTGGTGAAAGTGAAGGAGGATCCTTGGAGGGAGCCGGATGGAAAAGAGAACAAAATGCTTGTGAAAAACGTGCAGTCCAAACAAATTCCAGTATCAGCCGTGTTAAGTATGTATATATGAATCCCCCAGAATCAGGCTCGATCAGTGCGCCAATGCAAGCGTCAGGCCCTCCTATGAAGCTCACATGCCCAGCCCCCGGGCTCCTCTCCCCAGCCCATTCCTAGGCTCTGAGTCTTCCTCCCTTCCCTTCTGTGACCCACCCTCCCTCTTATTCCCCTCTCCCTTTCTTTCTTGTTTCCCTTTGGAATGAAATTTCTCTCTTTCTTTTTTTTTTTTTTTTTTTTTTTTTTTTGGGTGAGGCAGTGGGGTGAAGTGACTTGTCCAGGGTCACACAGCTAGTGTCAAGTGTCTGAGGCCAGATTTGAACTCAGGTCTTCCTGAATCCAGGGCCGGTGCTCTATCCACTGCGCCATCTGGCTGCCTCTGAAATTTATTTCTGTACTCAGTTCTGTGTGTGCGTGCTTCCCTCCTTTGGCTCCTTCATATAAAAGTGAGGTTCAGGTGTCACCTGTCCCCCCCACCTCCTCCTCTTTTTTTATGTGGTCTTCTACTTACATACTCATGTAACATGAGAATTTTTCCCACCCGTCCTCTCCCTTCCCCTCCCTCAGTGTTTCCTTTTCCTTTCTTTCTTTGAAATTCTTAAAAAGCAAACGCTCCTGGTGACTCCTCCTGGGACTCCTGATGGTAGTGGGGCTCTAAGAGGACATACATGTCATCACCCCCTTGTTCTTCTTACTGTTATCGTTCAGTCACTTTCAGTCATGTCTAACTCTTCATGACCTCATTTGGGATTTTCCTGGCAAAGATCCTGGAGGGGTCTGCCATTTCCTTCTCCAGCTCAGTTTACAGAAGGAGAAACTGAGGCAAATAGGGTGAAGTGACTTGCCCAGCGCCACCCAGCTTTATAAGTGTCTGAGGATGGATTTGAACTCAGGAAATTGAGTCTTCCTGACTCCAGACCCAGTACTTCATCCATTTTACCACCTAGCTGTCTCATCACACTCTATTAAAATGTAAATACTTCCTCTTTGTTTACTCTGATGATTACTCACTCATATTTTCTTTTCTCTCTGTATCACCTTTCCATGTTTCACTTCACTCTTGTGTTTGAATTCCAGAGTTTCTTCACAGCTCTGATGTTTTCATCAGGAATGCTTACAGGTCTCCTTTATTTCATTGTGTTCTTTTTTTCCCTATAGAAAGGATTATACAGAGTTTTGCTGGGTGTGTTATTCCCCTAGGTCTTTTGCCTTATGGATTATCATATTCCAAGCTCTCCACTTCTTTTGAGTCCTGTCTGCTAAGTCCTATGTGATCCTGACTGCGGCTCCTGGGTGCTTGAATTCCTTCTATCTTTTTGCAGTATTTTTTCTTTTACCTCAAAGCTCTGGATTTGGATTGTAATGTTCCTGAGAGTATTAATTTCCTTTAGGTTGTAGACTGGTGACTCTATTTTCACTTTGCCTTCTGTTCCTAAGAACTCTGGACAATTTTATGATTTCTTGAAATATAATGTCTAGGCTCTTTTTTAGGTTATGGCTCTCAAGTAGTCCAGTGATTCTTAAATTATCTCTCCTTGATCTGTTTTCTAGGTCAACTTGTTTTTAATATGAGATACTTAAACTTCTGTTTTTTTGTTCAGTCTTTCTACTTTGTTCTTCTATTTCTTACTGTGTCATGCAGTCATTAACTTCTTTTTGGTCCATTCTAATTTTTAAGGATTGTGTCACTTGGGTAAGATTTTGTACCCCTCGTGCCAAGATGTTAGTTCCTTTTTGTCTATAGCTCTCATTCCTTTTCCAGTTGTTTCCTTTCATGCTCTCATTTAATTTATGTGTTTTTTTTTTAAATTCTTCATTCATCTAGGAATTCTAGTTGAACTTGTGCCCAAGCTCTACTCTTTTCTGAGGCTTTGCTTATAGCTGTTTTACAGTCATCCTCTTTTTCTGAGTTTATATTCTGAGCATCCCTGTTACCATAATAACTCTTTATGGTGAGATTCTTTTTTTGCTTGCTTATTCTCCTAGACTGCTTCCTGATTTTTGACTTCATGTTAGGGCTGCGCTCTGGGAACTTCTGGAGGGAATACCAGGGCTATTTCTGCTGTTACTTTCTCAAGTTCTTAAGTGTTATATTAATTCATGATTTCAGGAACAACTCAGGCTGGGAAACCTACAAGCTTTCTGTGTGCCCAAAGCAATCCAAGGTGAAGTCCATTCCCTACCTTCCTAGTCTGAACTCTGTGAGTTCCTGAGCTCGGTTTGGGTCTGAGGAACACATTTGTGAACTTGGCCCTCTAGAGTTTCAGTTGACTGCTGCTGGAGGTTCAGACGGACGTCGTCAGGAAATCAGCAGACATTGATTAAACTCTGAAAGTGTGCCAGGACCTATTGTTAGGTGCTGGGGATAAATAAATGTATCCAAAATGAATATAAGGTAATGGGGGAGGGGAAAGGGTAGAACTAGCATCTGGAGGGATCCGTAACAACTTCATGTAGGTGTCCTTTGAGCAGAGATATGAAGGAAGAAACAAGTGACCAGAAGAGTTGCAATGGGGGGAGCCAACGTAAAGGACTAGACACGGAGACAGAGAAACAGAAGGTCACTTTGGCTGAACCATAGAATATGCATAGAGGAGTGAAAGGCATAGGCTGGGGTTAGGTTGTGAAGGATCCTATTTGATCCTGTAAGCAATGAGGGGAGACATGGAGTTGATTAAGTCAGGGGCTGACAGCTGCCCTGAGGAAATCACATTGAAAAGTATGTGGAGAGTAGACTAGAATGCAGCAGAGAGGGGGCAGCTAGGTGGCGCAGTGGATAGAGCACTGGCCCTGGATTCAGGAGGACCTGAGTTCAAATCTGGCCTCAGACACGTAACACTTACTAGCTGTGTGACCCTGGGCAAGTCACTTAACCCCCATTGCCCAAAACAAAAAACAAATTAATTAATTAATTAAAAAAAAAAAATGCAGCAGAGAGAGCCTAACCTGGGGTGGTGAGCATGGGAGTGGAGAGAAGGGGATGGATGGCAGACGTGTGCTGGAGGTAGAATGACTTCTGGGTGGTGAGAGAAGGCCCAGGGTGTGGTGTAGGGGGCTTTGTAGGCATGCCTCTTTGATCTCCAGATAATGGTGCTCCCCCGTTGGGATTCCGTCGCCTCTCCATGCCTTTCCTCATCGCCTGTCGCAATGGCAGCATCACTTCATGCCTTCCTTTGAGTGAGGTCTGCTGTGCTCCTAAGCCTGTCCTTCCCCTCTTTGCTGGATAGCACTGTCCCTCCTCCTTCTACGGATATTGCCTGAGCTCCCACTTTCCAGAGCCAAGGTCCGGCTGCAGCTCAGAGATCCCCAGGTTTGCTCCTCTACCCCAGATTCTCAGCTCCACCCACTCCAGGTGGCCTCACGTTTCACCTCTGTCTTGGAATTCCTCTTCCTCCACACTGGGTTCCCTGGCCTCAAGGGTGTGCTCAGGCAGTTTTCTCCCCCTGCTTTTCAGCTGCTCATCCCCCAGGTAGAGATTACCTCCCCATCACTTCCTCCCCTTCTCCCTCATTCATGCCTTGAGTCTCTCCCCATGGACAGGGTCTCATCCCTGTGCACAAAGGTGCCCAACTGTATCTTCACGCTGCCCCTTGGGCACCCCTCGTTTCCTTCTCAGGTCTGCCTTTTCTCCCGCACTCTTGAAAGTCCTCTCAGAGGTAGCTACTGATCTTCTGGCTGAACACTAAGTGGCCGTCCTCTTGGGCCGTGAATCCTGTCCCCCGCAGCCCCGCAAGGCTCCAGGAAAGTTGTTCCTCATGCCTCTGGGCAGCTCTCACCTGCTCTCCTTGCCTCCGTTGCTTGGGGTCTGTGTGACAGACAGCCTGGGCGAGGCCTCTGGGCCCTTCCACCAGTCACCACGTGGCAGGGACTCAGGGCGTCACTGTCCATTTTTCTCGTCTGGGCACTCAAGGAAGGTCCCGTTCACATCTGGGCAGTCTTGTAGAAGTGGACTGAGCCAGGGCAGAGCATGCCCGAGGTGAGATTGTCACTGTCTCATGGGTCTTAGCAGCTGCTGCCTCGCCCTCCCCGTGGGTTGGGGTGGGGGGGGACTCTTACCTTTACCCCTGAAATCCCATCATGCCCCTGGGTCTCGCTGACCCTTCAGTGGGGAGCTTTGTGGGTCAGCGTCATGCCCTTGGGTTCCTGTCTCTCTGCTGGGGTTGGTTCTGACCACTGATTTACATGAGCAGGTTTTGTTGGTGTGTTTTGTTTTAAATTCTAAGAAATGTTGATCATATTCATCTCTTACTTCTGTCTAATTTTCACTTTTTGTAGCTTTTTAATCCCTCATCATGCAGTGTCTGGTGTTTGCTCTCTGTCCTTGGAGCCAGGAAAACCCGGGTTCACGTCCTGCCCACATCCCAAGCTCTGGGGCCCCTTTATGCCTGCACGGCTCCCTTAGACAGATGACTGAGCCATGGGCTCCTTGTGAAGTGACTGCTGTGTCTGTAACTAGGCCAGGCCCAGTGCTAGGCACAAGGGCAGAGGGCCCTGCCCACATCACCCTGGCTGAGGCCCCTCTTGCCTGGATCTCTGACCCAGATTGCACATGAGCACTGCCCTTGGCCAGGTTTTCAGGGGGCTTTCACTGCTCCCTGAGTCCACTTGTGGGGAGCCCGTGGTCGGCCCTGCCCTCGAGCTGAGGGCCGCACAGTCTCTGAGCCCCTGCGGTAGAGAGAGTGCCCAGCCCAGCTAGTCACACCTCCCCAACTGCAGGAGTGGGCACCGCGACCTTAAAGACAAAAGAAAACTGCTCAGAAACCGCAGGACAGGAAGGGCAGCAAGGCTGAGCAAAGGAGCAGCCCCACACTGGCCGGCAAGTGGCCCCGGTCTGTCTGGCCTGGCCGCAGGGGCAGGAAGGTGTCTTCAGAACGTCTGCCGTTCCAGGCATTGAAGACCCACAGTATGAAGGAAATCTGTGAAGGAGGCAGAGGCAGGCAGATGCCAGGCTGGGCCGGACAGGGCTTTGGGGCTTTGTGCGCCTTAGCTCCGACATCTCTCAGATGCCCTGGGGAGCCCATCCCACAGCCGCTGCCAGGAAGGGCCAGGAAGGGGGGGCCTGGGGGGCCAAGGGTTAGTCACGTGGAAAAAGCCAGAAGAATGCTTAGGGATCCCATGGACTCACTGCCTATTGTCTACCACTCGGGGATCAAAATAGCAATTCCCCGTGCCCAATAAATCCTCCACCTGAAGGGTGGGTAACAAGAGGCTGGCCCGAGGCAGGCCTTCAATCACCTAGGCAGACAAGGTGCGCCACTGTGGGCTTGAATGTGGCCAGGTCCCCGCGCTGGCATCTTTCCCCCAGCTAGACAATGTGCATTCACTGCAGGAGGCCAGCCTAAGCCTCCCTCTCCCAGACCGGCTGGCTCCTCGGGCCCAGCCCGACACAGAGGGGCCTTTGTGAGGCTAATTACCTTGTCCTGGCTGGGAAGGCGTTGGCTTGTCTGCTGCCTTCTTCTCAGGTGGAGCGGGAGCAGGACAGACGGACAGACAGACGGACGGACAGAGCCTAGGCTCTGGGGAGAGATGGGGCCCGGCCGAGTGTGGATCGTTTGCCAAAGGGCCGAGATGGGTCTTTGGCCAGCCTCTCTGGCTTTCCTAATTGGCCAGGGTCGGTTACAGACAATTAACCTGAAGTTAAATGAGGCCTGCCTTGAACATGCCTTCCCTGATGAGGAAGGGGAGATTCGAGGAGTCGGGAATGCTGGAGGGAAGCCAGACCTAATTCCTCAGCCTGATCCCAGTCTGGCCCAACCCTGTTTACAGGGCAGGTCACCACCCCTGGGGCAGGTCAGCCCTGGACAGGTCACTGCACCCTTCACAGATGAGCCCCCGGGCAGCTTTTCCCTTCTACCCTGTGTCCATGTGAGTGAGCAGCGCACTGAAAACATGCTCGTTCCAGGTTCCAGAGGGGCGTTGGACAAGGGGAGGTGATGCTTTGCCTGTGCGTTTTCCCCAGAGGGGGTTACTTTAGGCCTGTGTACAAGGAAGCCGTGGGACAGTGTGGCATGGCCACTGCGGGCCTTCGCCTTTCCTGGCCTGGGGCTCGGTGCTTGAGGGCTTTGGCCTGCAGTGTGAACACAGGCGTCCCTGAGTCCCATCGATGGGATCAGCCTACCTGAGTGGTCTGGGGTCAGCTGGGAGGCCCGGGAGGCCTGTCACTTTCTGGTCAGGGAGAAGAGGGGCTGGCACACGGCCTGGGGGCCGGGCGGGGCAGTTCCTGGCTGCTCTCGGAGGCTCAGGCTGATGGCGGAGTGGGTCTCCAGGTCTCCTCGGGCCTGGTTTACTCCCAGGTGACCAGCAGTGGAGGACTCGTGTCAGACACACAACTCTTGGGGTGACTCTCAGAAGTGAAGACTGGAGATCTGTGAGAAAAGAGGGAGTGTGCTCTCTTTCACAGGGTTCCCCCGGGGCCAGAGGCTTTGGGGTTTTCCCTGGCTGCCCCCTGAAGTCCCTGTGGCCTCTATTCTGTGGCACAGCCTGGCAGGCCTGGGAAGTCTGTCTCACTGAGCTCCTGGCAGTCTCATGATGAGGGAGGTGCCACTGGGCACCGCCTACACTCTTGGCACTGTTTGCCCCGGGAGGTCACTGACCTCCAGATGGTGACTTTGGAGGGGGTAAGGAGGCGCTTTCTTGCCAGTTTAGAAAAAGCGATCCTTTCAAAGATACCATTTTGGGGGTAACTTCCACAGGTCCCCCAAACGTGGCTCCTGAGTTGGCTCGGAGAGGCTATGGGGAGTTGTGTCTTGTCTTCAGCCCCACCCCCAGCCAAGTTTGCCTCACACTGACCCAGGGTCAGAGCAGCCCCAAGGCTTCCCCGGGGGCCACGTCTCTCCCCTGTCCTGTCCTGGCCTGGCCTTCTTCTTGAGACACTGGGCCCAGTGAGCAATAGCTCTGAGGGGTTCCATCTTGTAAGAAGAGGGCTGCCGGTCTTCTCCAATCAGTGTTCCTCTCCCCCATGCCTCCATCCTTGGCCTTCTCCCCTCCCCTGTCCTTCCTCTTTCCTCAGGTAGAGGATGGAGGTCAGGGCCGCGCTCCCGGGACTCCTCCTGCCGCTTTCTCAGTGCCCGCATGCACCTCCTGTCCCACTCCAGAATCTCTCATCTTCCTGAAGCGCGCCGAACAGACTCGTCTCCCTGACTCCCGCCTCCTCCCTGTGCAGATGACGGAGCATCCGCCTCTCGTCTGAAAACCTGGAGCGCTCCCTTTGCAGCATTCACGCCCTCCACCGCTGGGCCGGGCCTGGTCCTTCTGCGCCCCTCTCCCCACTGTGCTCCCCAGCTGACACTCCTCCCCTCTGGTAGTTCTGTCTTCACCTGCAGGAGCAGGGACCAGGCGCTCTCAGTGTCAGAAATGGTGTGGCGCTCAATACCGGCTCTCACGCGTTCTCTTCCACCTTGCAGGGTGCCAAAGCGTGCTTTCTGCGGGACATCCCCTTCTCCGCCATTTACTTCCCCTGCTATGCGCACGTGAAGGCGTCCTTCGCTCAGGAGGATGGGCACGTCAGCCCTGGGAGCCTCCTCCTCGCGGGGGCCATTGCTGGTAAGTCTCCTCACCCCTTCCTTTGTCCTGCCCCAAGGGAAACGCCGCTTTCCCTGTCTTTGGTGTCTCCTAGAGAAAGCTGGGAGGGACCCTGTGGGTGAGTTGTGTGTATGTGAATGCATGTGAGCACATGTGTGTGAATGCACGAACATGTGTGTGAATGCATGTGAGCGTGTGTGAATGCATGTGAGCACGTGTGTGAATGCATGAGTATGTATGTGAGTGCATGCAAATGCGTGCGTGTATGAGTGCATGTGAACACATGCATGCATGTGCGTTTGTATAAATGCACAAGTGTGTGTGTAAACTCATGAGCACGTGCATGTGTGTGCGTGTGTATGAATGCACAAGTGTGTATGAATGCATGTGAGCACATGCATTCTGCATGCATGTGTGAGAGCGTACATGTGGGTGACTGCGTGAGTGTGGGTGTGTGCACGTATGGGAATGTGTGAGTGTGAGTGTGAGTTCACGCGGACACTGTGTGAGCACGTATATGTCAGAAACCAGGCCCTGGAGTGTGGCCCAGGACCCCGGTCAGTGTCTGCCCATCCTGGCCTCTGGCCTCCAGCCTCCAGCCTCCCCTGCCACGGAGGGAGCTCAAGTTCAAGGCACGTTTTCCCTCCGTAGGTAGATGGCTGCTCACTGATGGGGCTCTTTGCGCTCCCCGAAGGGGAGCCAGCTGGCCTCTCTTTCCCAGCGTGGGACCCCAGACCCTCAGGGTGGGAGCAGCGTCATCTCCATGCCTCTGCATAGCGTCTGCCCTCACGGCTCGCCCCCATCTCTTTGGCCCTCCTCCGCGAGGCCTCTCCCGGTCTCCGCAGGTGCTGTGCCACCGTTCCTGCTGCCACTGCTCCGTCCTTATTTTTGTCTCTCAGTCCGCATGGTGCACCGTCCGTGTGGTTTTTCTTGACTCTCCAGCACAGAGCCGCATGGGGAGCCAATGGGATGCCCCCGTCGGGGGAGAGGTCATCAAGATGTCGATGAGGCGCTTTGACCGGAGGAGATCCAGACTTCAAGGGTTCCCGTGATCCAGGATGAGGAAGGTGTGGCCAGCCCTGTCGGCCCCCGAGGCCAGCTGGAGGATGACCAGAGACGAGCAGTCATCGCGTTCAGCTCTGGCTTGACACACGGCCAGGAGACTTGGGGAACGCAGGGCAAGTGTAGAAGAGACCCTGCGTAGCGACTCTGGTGGTCGAGGCTGTTCCTGTTCTTGTGAGGGGGCCGGCAGCGCTGCCCTCCGGAGGATGCCCAGAGCGCTGCCTCTGGGGAGGTGGGGGGAGCGCCCCAGGCAGCGGCATCATCCATCTGCTAACCCACACACGGGGAGGGATTGATGCCTGGCACTGGGGACGTAGACAAGAGAAGCAAAGCCCTGCCCATGGTGGGCACACAGACAGCGCTGTGCAAATTAAATGCCGAGTCAGCAAGGAAAGGCGCAAAGTGCAGGAGGAGAGAGGGGAGAGCGGCTGGCCAGCGGCCCCGTCTGAGCGGGGGAGAAGGGTATTGAACGTCTGCAGGGAGTGTCCATGGGAGGCAGCCAGGCTGGGGAGGGCCCCAAGTCTGGGCAGCGAAGAAGACCGGGGAGCAGCCGAAGGGGCCTCAGCTAGGCTGGACGCCTTGATGGGGTTCCGTGAGTCTGCGTGCCCCGCGGGCCAGCCGCTGTCCACACCGGTGCCCACTGACGGTTGTGGCGGCAGTCAGGGAAGAGCCTCACTCCGCTCCCCAGGGCACGAGCACGATGTGGGATCCTGGGCAAACGGGGGACCCGGGATCAGAAGAGAAGAGGTGAAAGGCGCCTTCTGTCTGAATGGCGGCTGTCCGTAGGGAACAATCACAAGACGTGGGTGACAGACAGGGAAAGGCAGCTTTCAGCTTGTGGGAAACGGGAGCCACGCAGGAAGAGATGAGGCCGCCTCTGAAGAGAAGCAGGAAGAGTCCGGGGCCCGGCGGACCTCCAAAGTCTGCCCCCACGCAACTCCCTCCAGAAGGGCTCCTCACGGACACACATGTGCCTTTACACCCCCGCCTTGGCCTTCATGCTCACACAGGGAGGGTTCTAACAGGCCGGTTCTCAGAGGTGTGGCGTGAAGGCGGAGCCGTGACACACCCCGGCTCCTCCTTGCCCCGTTTTCACTCGCTGGGTGTTGATGGAGGCACTGAGAAGATACAGGGAGGCGCAGGGCCCCCACACTTGCGGCCACCTCCTCCCCCGGGCTGTCCAAGCTCCCGCTGTGCCGTGTGCTGTCCGCGGGATGACAGAATAGAAGTGGACACGATGGGGCTCAGGTGAAAGATGTCCGCAGGATTCCCCGATAAAAACCCCCTCTTCCCCTCCCCCATGTCAATAACCGTCAGGACGGGAGTGACCTGTTCTGGGTCTGTGGGGCTGTGCCCATGCCAAGGATGCTGGTGGTGAGCTGTGGCCTGGAGGGCTCCAGGAACGGTGAAGGATGTCTGTCCAGGCAGTAGCTGCCCCCCAGATCTGGTGCCTGCTCGGGCCGGGTGAGGCAGAGGAGAGGGCCTGTGGCCTGGCCTCTCGGGCGCCCTCAGATCTCGTCTCTGCATTGGACCCTTCCCCCGGGTCGCCACGCTGCCTGGGGCTCGCTGTGACCAGGGAGGGATTCGCACTGTCCGCTGTCCCTGATGTTTCTCCTGCTCCTCTCAAATCCAGCCCAGGCAGCTTCCTTAGGAAGCCAGGCCTTGTGCTCATCCCGGGGTGAAACCCACCCCACCTCTCCCAAGACTTGCTGCTGTATCACAGACCAGCAGAGCCTTCAGGGAGTCCCCTGGGGACATGTCCTCACCAGTATTCAGCGGGCACTCCCACGTAGAAGGGCCGGGAGGGTCACACCCAGCATCTTCCTGGCCTCGGCGGCCTGCGGAGTGCCCTTCTCGGGTCCCTTCCGTGGATGCCCCTAGGTCATCCAGCAGCCGGCTCCCCCCGGGACCTGATGCCACTCTTCCCCAGAGCGTTGGCATGGAGCGAAGCTGGTGTCAACAAAGCTGGTGTCAACAAAGCATCCGTGACCGAGCCGTTGGCGTCAGAGAAGCAGAATGAAGGATCGGGAATCTTGGCTTCGCTCTGACCTGGGCGGCACACAATCAGACCTCGCCGGCGTGCAGTGGGACGTCGGGCGGAGACGGTGTTTTCCTGCCACTGCGGGCAGGTGTTTGTCAGTGGAGGTCCAAGTCTCGCGCCTCTGGGGCTGGAAGGATGAGGCTGCCGCTGAGCTGACCATAAGTTGTCCTAAAGGGAGCTGCAGGTCTCCAGTAGCGGACCCCCGGCCCCTCCTGCCCCATCCTCGTCCTGAGGCCGTCCCTCTCCTCGGCCCTGCCACGGCACGAGAGGAGTGCTAAGCCAGGTGCCCCTAAAAGACACCTGAAGGTCCAGGGCGGGCCTGGAGACTGTGGCCTGGCCCAGCTTCTGTCTGCTCCGCGTTTACTTACGAGTCCCACGCATCCACGTTGGTTTCTCCAGATAAATCCCATTTTTCCAGCGTTGGCATTGTTTCCTTTTGTGTGTGTGTCCTTGAATTAGTTCTTGAGCATTCCTCATCCCACCTGGCCTGAATGGGAGCTCACCTAGTTCAGCTGTGGCATCAGCCTGTCACCTACCTCTCGCCTGGGGCTCCTGTTGCACGCACAGCAGCCGTATCCAGGAAACCACCTCAGCTGACGGGCCAAGTCACTTAACTGACAGGCCTCAAACCCGTCGATGGATCGGGGGATGTCTACCCCCCACCAGGGAAGATTTCCCCCAGGGGAATGATCAGAGAACAGTTTGTTGCAGCAGCCACGGAGGCAGCTGAAGTAGATGCTTGGAGCATTTAGGGCACCCCCTGCTTCGCAGGCCATCCCCAGTCCTGACTTTTGTCACTGGGCTTCAGTGACTGGAGGAGAGAAGGAGGCCGGTGACTTTGTGCAGCTCAGCCTCGCTGACGTCCAGTTCATGCACAAGTCAGGGCATCACCCTGTGACGTCAGGCAACAGAGCGTAAGCAGTGATGACGGCGTCTGGCCTCCTTCCAGCCGCTATGAAATCTGCTTTCCCCAGATCCGGGGTCTCAATCGGGCTGTGCCACACACCCTTGCTTTCTCTGTCTCAGTACCCGTCCCTCCTTCTGAACTAGCGTCAGACTCGGTAGAATTTCCCCTCGTTGGCTCTTCTGCCCTTGGATTTCTGCCATCGTGATGCCTGACTTGAAAAAGGAAAGCAATTCCTCCAAGTGCTTCGAAACACAGACCACTTGTTGCCATGCGGTGTGGACCCAGACTGGGGAGCCTCGTCACAGACGTGTTCCGTCAGATGCTTCTTCGGGCAGTGGCAGAGAGAGGAGAGGTTCTGTTTCAGTAGGAATGTGTGTGAAGGTGTGGCATGCTCCTTTGCACCAACACCAAATAACCTTAAAAGTCATCTGTTGGAAAGAAGAGTCGTTAGTGTGAGCCAGACCATGCTGGTTTGGACGGAGAGCGTCAGAGGTATTTAGCCTGAAGAAGAGCCAGGGCGCCTCGGCCGCTGCCTCTGACCAGCCTGGTTTGGAAACTGTTTGAGACGCTGTCTTCTTCCTGCAGCTGCCTCACTTTGGAGAAAGTGGTTTAGACTTAGTCCCCGAGTGTAACGTAGGCTGGGCTCTTCCTGGTTGCCCCTTTCCATTGAATACCAGCCATCATCACTGAAAATCTTCCACCAAGGATTTGGTGAACAATGTCCAACCCTGGGCAGAAAAGAAACGTGGCTTCTCCTTGTAGGAGAGAGTGAGCCTGGAAGGGTTAGCTGTGCTTGTTTAACTATGGTAGGGTGGGGGGTGCCAGCAGCCACAGATATGTTTCAGGAAGAGGCAATATAGACTTCACCTTTAAAAAATCTGACCCTCAGAACTTGGCAAGTTGCTAGCTTCAGCAAAAAAGCGCTCCCATTTTTGCTTCTCAACTTGAAGCTAAAAATGTGAATAACATGAAAGAAGAGTTCAGAGTCTGAGTTATCCTGGGGGGATAAGTCATGGGGGAAGCCCTGTTCAGGGGTGGGCACAGATGTACGCACAGTGGCACTACACCTCCCACTAGGAGTGAGGAGCGGGGCGCCTGTTCAGCTCTTAATTAAGAAAGAGATTTTCATGCCACAGTGAAATGCTTCCCACGGATGGCTTGTGTGTCTCCCGCAGGTATGCCAGCTGCATCTTTAGTGACCCCCGCTGACGTGATCAAGACAAGACTACAGGTGGCAGCTCGGACTGGCCAGACCACCTACAGCGGAGTGATGGATTGCTTTCAGAAGATCCTTCGAGAAGAGGGCCACAGAGCCTTGTGGAAGGGGACAGGGGGTACGGCCGGGGAGGCCACGGGTGGCCCCTGGGAGCCCCCGGGGGGAGGGCTCTGCAGCTCCTGGGGTGGGGGCCGGTCTCAGCTTGCGGTTCTCCCTCTCTCCACCAGCTCGTGTGTTCCGATCATCGCCTCAGTTTGGCGTGACGCTGCTGACCTATGAGCTGCTGCAGCGTTGGCTCTACGTGGACTTTGGGGGCACGTGAGTGTAGGGGAGAGGTGGGTAGGGCCCCTCCTTTGACCCCCAGAATCTCACTTGGACTCTTCCCTTTCAGAAAACCAGCCTCCCCCGAGCCTGCTGTGAGATCCCTGCGTCCCTCCAATGCCGACCACGTGGGGGGCTACAAGTTAGCCGTGGCCACGTTTGCGGGCGTCGAAAACAAGTTCGGACTCTACTTGCCTCGGTTCAAGCCATCCGCGCCCGCTCCGTAGTGACCCGCGCTGCTGACCTGGCAGAGCTGGGGGCAGCCTCCATCCTCTCTCCCTTGTCTTGTTCAGATGTAAGCTGGGCTTTCTATCATGATCACTACATGGAATCGTTTGGGGTTCGCGCTTCCTTAACCAGTTGACGGTGAAATTCCTGCTCGTGATTCATTCTTGCAGCCGAGCTGGCCTCCGACCTCATGACCCCGAGAGAGGACAGGGCAGGAGCGGAGCGACGAGCGGACTTGGGAGACCCTTTCCTCGGGCCGGGGGAGGGCGGAGAGCCCTGACGTTGCTTTTATACCAGGATCAGCCGCCCTGGCATCGGGCTTTAAACATCGACACGCACAAGCAGTCTCTGGATCGTATTATGAAGCATTGATGTGAAACATGTTTTTGTGTAATGCAAACCACATTGACTGCTGCGACCCCGGACTCCGTTCCCAGCATCGGGCCGCTTGAGGAGAGGGCTGCGTCCGTATGCTCTTAGCGCGCCCTGGCATTTTCTCTCGCTTTCATCGCACAAGTGACTGGGCTCCCCTCTCCGGGGTCCAGAAGGTGGACGGACCAGGCCCCTCCCCCTGCACCCCCACCCCGCAGCCGCTGTCCCTGCTCTTCTCTTTACCCTCAATCATGTCGAAGACAAAGATGGTCTCTGATTTCTGGTGCCTGGGGGTCATGTTTGTAGGGCTGTGTATTTATTTCTGAGGAGAGAAATAAACCCTTCAAACAGCTATTTGGGTCTGACTCTGCTTTGAACTGGGGGCCGTCTCCTCCAGACCAGATTGTGCCCGTATCGTCCCAAGCCTGGGGTAAGTCAGAGGTGGCAGACGGGTCCTTGGAGCCCCAGGACAAAGATTGGCCTCTTGGGCCTAGGCGTAACCCAGCACCCAGCAAATCCGACCGCAAGACTGAACATAGAGCCCTTGTGAAACTCCTGCCCCTGCCTCACCCAGGCCTCCCTGCTGGGGTGGGATGGGGGTGCAGCGGGAAGCCAGCGCTGGCAGCACTCGGCCCTGGGCACGGGTCTGTGGGATCACAGCAAAAATGACGGGGGTGTTAGGTAAGGGAATGAATCCTCTGCTCCTCTGGGGACAGAGCAGGGCCAGGCCTCCCTGGGACAGTGTTTCCAGGCACCCCAGCACCAATCTTGGGAGGGAGGTTTGGGGCCCCCCACGTTAGTGATAAGGTGGGATTCAGACTGTGGATGAAATGGGGCTTGGCAGGCGGGTCTGTAGGACAGGCACCCCCTTTGCTGAGTGAACATTGAGCAAACAGCAAAACTTGGCCGCCACCTTTTTCTGGAAGAAGTCCACTGGGCCCAAGGTTCTCAATAAACACAAAGCACTTTCATCTCTTTTGAGCCAGGACCTCACTCTCATGACTTGGCAAGTTGCTAGCTTCAGCAGAAAAGTTCTTTTCAGTCAGGACCCCACTTCCTCTCCTAGCTGCCTCACCCACGAGCCCAGGCCCAAGTATGGGGACTGCCCAGACCAGCCCAGAGCCTCCACAGATGTGGCCCCTGCCCGCCTGTGCTCATGGAGCTGAGCTCCCATCTGCTTTGGTTTGGAAATTTCCAGCTGTTAAGAGGGCTCTGTTGGAGGCCAAACCACAGTGCCCCCAGTCTAGAATGAAGGAAAGTTAAGCAGCTGAGCTGATTGTCCTCTTGTGGCTGTCTCCCCAGACAGCTACCAGTGGCCCTTCACTCTGTCCTTCGAGGCTCAGCTGCTCAGCAGAGCCATGATTCAGTATTCTACAGTTACCAGAACCTGGTGCTGGACTGAGCATCTCCAGGACATTGGGACCGGCTTGGGGCCTGGGAGGGCACCTCTGAGAGACGGTCCCCATTAGGTTGTTAGTTGGGAAACTCTTTTAACGCAAGTTGAAGCAACTCTGAGGTTCTACCTCATAACCATCAAATAGGAGAAGGGGGAAATAAATGTAAGAAGACTATGGGAAAAAATAGATAAATTTAAAAAGAAAGAAAAAAAAGGGGACAGCTAGGTGGCGCAGTGGATAGAGCACCGGCCCTGGAGTCAGGAGGACCTGAGTTCAAATGTGGCCTCAGACACAACACTTACTAGCTGTGTGACCCTGGGCGAGTCACTTAACCCCATTGCCTAGTTTAAAAAAAAAAAAAAGACTATGGGAAAGTAATAACAGCTAGCATTTAAATGTTTGCAAAGCACTTTGTGAATATATCATTCAGTTTAACGACCTTGGAAGGGAGAGGCTGTTTTTGTCCCCATTTTACAGATGAGACCTGCCCAGGGTTGTACCCGATGCCAGGTTGGAACTCAAGACTTCTGTCTCCAGGTCCAACCCTTGTACTCCGGGCCTCGGCGCTGCCTCAGGCACACTCGCACCTCCCGCAGAGTCGGAGCTGACCCAGCCATTCTGGAAAGCGGTTTGGAACTGAGGCAGGAAGACGCTCAACTTGTGTCCCCTCGACCAGCGAGACCCCAAAAGAATTGTTTAAAAAAGGAAAAGAGAAAAAGAATCCCTGTATACAAACACAGAGAGGACAGTGGCCAAAAATGAGAAACTAGAATGCCCTCTTGGGGAGTGGGTTGGGATTTGAATGGAATGGAATATTATTGCACCATAAGCTGATGAAGTGGACAAAATCAGAAGAAACCAGGAAGACCCTGCAGCCAGATGCAGAGAGAAGTTAATACACCAGGAGGACAGATATGGACAGCAGCTGAATGCATAAGGGCAAAGCCAGCCCCCGCCCCTGCCCCCCCCCCAGGAGGGCATGCATTTGCCATTGGCTTCTGGTGGGCCCCACATATCCATGATGACAGCTTTATTTTTAATTTAATTGTTATAATTCTGAGAAAGTAGTGGGAGGGACTGATTTTAAATTCATGGAAGAATAATTTTTTAAAAATAAGGCAAGCATGCAAATGTGGGGTGCGGGGGAAGTCTGTCCTCTCATCTCCTCCCACTTTGGACCACTCCTAGGCAGACTGCTCACAGGGCCTGGCCAAGAGTGGGCAATTTCTGTGTGCTTGTGGGTTGATGGAGTAGTCAAGATGGCACATCCACAACATTGGAGCAGTCAGCCTTTATCTTTTGGTTTTACATTTGTCAAATTAGGATTGGCTCAGGGGCAGTCACCAAGGAGAAGGAAACATGCATTTATGTGACACCTACTGTGTTCCAGGCACTGTGCTAAGTGCTTACAAATACCTCATTTAATTAATTAATGAAAAATTAATGAAAAGATGATCCAAGTTCTGACTGAGGTCATCTCATTCTAAGCAGTCAAGAGGGGCAGATTTCCTACAGAAAGTCCTATGAGGTGAGATGATCTGGAGTTGATTTGGGTGAGGGTGGATGGATTTAACCCCCTTTTCCTTTCACCCCCTGATTCAGAGAAATTATTTAAAGCTAAAGGCACCCCAAAGTCTCGGTGTCCAGCCCCCATTTTACAGGCCCACAGAGCTAGGTCTCTGGAGGCAGGGTTTGTGAAGCGGCAGAGTCAGAACTCGAACCCAGGCCCTCTGATGCCAGAGAGTGTGATCCAATGACTAGGAACCCAGAAGTGTGGAGGGCCTGGGATGAACAGAAAGAAGCAGAATCCGGACGACCGCTTACACCTGGGCTGCGACACTGACCGAAAAGGTGGACCCACCACGGACAGGGCCAGGAAGAGCTTCTCCCCTCCCCCTGCGGGGTCGTGGGCGGGGCCTTGCAGTCCTCTGCCCCATCCCGCTTTGTTCAGTGTGTCCCGTTGTTCGGTCCCGAGCTTTCAAACGCTTCGAATGGGATGCTGAGCTGCCCCGCTCCTTTCCTCTCTGCCTGCGTTTCCTCTTCTGTAAGAGGAGGGTAATAACACTTCCCTCCCAAGGCTGTGAGGACCAGATGAGTCAGCATATGTAAAGCGCTTTGCAAACCTGACGCATTATATAGCATTACAGAGGGTGGTGTCACTATCTCATGATAGCCTCGTAGAGACTTGAACACAGCGCTCCGGTTCCCATGGAGTCTTCTCCGCAGCCAGATTTGCCCACTTCCTCCCGAGCCTGGGCCTTCTTCATCCTAGTTGTCTGTCCTTCCATCATGCAGGGACAGACAGGGACACGAAACTCATTGGCCCAGCATCAAGGACGGTTTGGGGTGCACACCCCCCCAAGTCTCGGTCCTTCTGCATTTGTGATGTCACGGTTGAGTTTTTTGACCCCGAAAAGAAGTCTTTCCATTTATCGTCACTGAGATTCCGCTTATTAAACTTGGCTCGTCCCTGCGGGATGTGCCCTCCCTCCCTCCCAGTTTGGTGGCTCCCGCCTGTTTCATAATCACACTCCTCCTCGGTCCCGGTCCTCGGTTCCTAACACGGGGCCACGGCCTTGCAGGGAGGCGGGGCATTCACACGGAGGACGTCGTCCCAGCCAGCCTGGGTCGGCGGACTCTTCTGTCCTCGAGCCCGAGGCCTTCCCTCTTAGCCACAAGGAGAGCACGAGAGGATTTTGCTAAATTAATCTTCAACCTTCCCCCGGCTTTGTAACTCCATCCAAAAGGAAATGAGATGATTCTGGTACTATCCGGCCCTTGGCGACCGCCGCTTCTACAGATTCCCCAACCAATCTCTTATAAATCATTCGGTCTTCCCAGGCATCCAGTGTCCAATTCACTGGCCCACCACTCACCTGCAGGCTGGACTCTGCTTCTCTCGCCACTTCGTCCCCCTTCTCTCGGTCACACCTCTCCCCGACTCCACCCCATGATAGGCTGACCTCTCACTGGCCCTCTTGCGTGGGGCCTTTTTGCACCGCCCTCTCATCTAGGTGGATAGAACCACCATCTTATGGAGCTTCCACCAGTCCCTTCAGTTTAAAGACTAGGAAATGGAGGCCTGGGGACTTTAGGTGATCCGTCCAATGTCACACAGAGAATAAGCCTCAGGGGCCAGACTGGAACTCAGGTTCTCTTCACAGTGCCACATGGACTCCACCTTTAACAGCTCAACTCTCCAAATGGGTACAACGAGATCATTTCCTGTAGCCTTTCTCTCTCACCCATACCCTTCTTAAAGTCAATAGTCAGGTTCCCATTCCCATGGACATCACTCCCCTGCAATAAATCTCTCTCTCCTCCTCTCTCCCCACCTTGATCTTTCCTCTCTTCTCTCTTTCCTCCTCCTCCTCCTGCTCTTCTTTTTTCTCTCTTCTCTCTCTTCTTCTTTCTTCTTCTTCTTCCTCCTCCTCCTCCTCTTCCTCCTTCTCCTCCTCCTCCTCCTTCTCTCTCACACACATTGCTGATGATCACAATTCTCAAGTCTTGGTCTTCTGATCCTCCAGTCACCCCTGATCCTCTGCTCCCCACCTTTTGGCCCTCAGACCCTCTGCTTCTCTTCAGTTGTCCCCCGAGCGGCCGGCCCCGTGTTCCTCTGTACCCACTCCTTTGAGGCACAATCGGCTTCCACAGCGTTCACCTACACTCCATACCTTACCCAAAGACTTAGAAAGACTCTCACCCCCGATTTCTCATCCACTATCCCATTCCCATAGCAATCTAGTAACACATGCACCCTATAACATTCAGAAATCAGGCTTCCCTACCTACCTACCTACCTACCTACCTACCTACCTACCTACCTACCT